CATGTTTATGACTTTTATTTTGATATCTTTATGAAGAAGATTGGTGATCTCTGTGTGATTTATCCCTCTTTCTGGGGTTCTGTCTTGTAATTTTGACTGGATCAAATTCCTTTGTCTGCTCATTTTGTCAGGGATTCTGTGTTTCTTCCTTTTTACTAGATGTCTCTGCTGTGCTTTCCTCATCCTTCATTGTGTGGTTCTTTCTTCTTCCTTAGGGGTAAAGGGACTTCAGGTCATTTTAAATCTTCAAGTCATTTTCAGATCTAGTTGTAGTTGCTGTATTTTCCTCTTTTATGTGTTTTTGGGAGGAGGTTCCTGTCTTGTCTTCCTATTCTGCCATATTTAATCTGATAATCTGAGATTGGCTTAATTTTTACTAAAGCATATCTCCTTTCCTCTTGGGCACACAGCTAGGTTACATTATCTTCTGACCTCTCTGCAGTTAGCAGCATCCATGTTCCTGAGTTTCCACCAGTGTAATGTGTGCAGAATAGATGTTGTGTTTGCTATGTCCAGATGTGGCCTATAAAAACTTTCCAAACAAGTCATCCCTATCTTCTCTTCTCTTTTTTTCTGGTGGAATGCAAAGCATCCCATGGAGAAATCTAAGACTCCAAGGAATGGTGAAGCTGCAAGAATCTGGATGGAAGATACTTGAATTCATGGAGCAGACCACCCTCTCACCCAGGGTTCTTTACTCTGGCCACCTATAGCAGACTGACCCTGGGAGCCAGCAATAAAACTTAATTGTGTGAAGCTAATGAGATACGGAGTTGTTTGCTATGGCAGTTAGCTAACTCTCAACTATTAATTGACTAGGTGATGTAAATGTCTGCCACATTCCCTTATGCAATATATCTTTGCTGAAGGCACCCTAAAGGAGCCTTGGAAAGAGAAATTCTGCAATATCTCAGTCTTGCAACTCTGGGCAAAGGGATAAGGAGGGAAACTGTCCATTCAGGATAGGTAGTCATACTCAAAGCCACAGCATGCTGTAAGAAATTGTGTGACTGGTGCTCAGATCTTGTTTTCTAACATAATTCCCCATTAAAGGAACCAGGACTTCTCAAAGAAATGGATGATTCTAGGGCTGTGGAAGGGAAAGCACAAGATGAGTCTGGAATGTATTGTTATGGGGACATGCTAAAAAAGACACAGGAGCTTGAAAAGGCACTCACTGATGAACTCTGAAAAATGTCAGCACCCTAATAATTAAGGACAGTAAGAATCTATAAACCACTTAAAAATATAGTAATCTATGAGTCTTTATCATTAACAAATAGACAACTAAGTTAATTAAATAATTAATAGATAACTTAATAAGAGATGAGAGATTGGTACAGGCAAGAATAATCAACAGACCTGAATCTAGGGGAACATGTTTAATTAGGAGCAGGATATTTGCATGGTCTAAGCTCTCTCCCTATAGATTGCTTATTACAAGGGAAAAACAGTAAATATTTTTTACTATTTACTGGAGAAATCAGACACCCCAACATGTTGATCAAAATTATTATCATCCAATGAGAGACAGAAATACTTGATTTTGGGTGTGACATCATGAGAAGTCCACAATAGCACTTGTGTGGTATTCTGGCTAGGAATGTCTAATCTGAATCTAATAATAAACATGAAACAAACATAAATGAGAAACCTAAAATGAGGAATATTCCATTATCAAAAAATATCAAAGCCATCAAAGACAAAGAAAAGCTAAGGAACTGTTTCAGATTAAAGGAGCCTAGGGAGACATGTGGTTAAGCGCTATATGTGATCCTCAGCTGGATCTTTTACTGGGAGGGGAAAAAAATGGTAAGAAATGGCAAGGATTTATTGGCAAGATTTGCAATAAGGATGGTAGATTAACATATTATGTCAATATTGTTTTCTGGAATTGATAACTGTATATATTGGGTATGTAAAATGTGCTTATTTTTAGGACATTCAAGTATTAATGGGTAAAGAGGCATGATGTGTTCAATTTACTTTCAAATGGTCAGGAATAAAAATATGTGTATTTTTTATCTATCTGAGATGCAAATGTAAAGTGAAAGGGGCAAAATGCTAATCACATGAATCTGAGTAAAGGGTGCATGGGAGCTCTCTTTTCATTATTCTTGTAACTTTTGTACGCATTGGAAGTTATTTCCAAATAAAAAGTTTTCTAGAGTCTAGATTTAAAAAACCATTGAGGACTCACTCTTGTCAGTTCAAAGGATTTTTCTATGTTCTGCCTCCTGCTGTTTACTTCAGATCTTCACTCTTATCTGGTTTTCCCAGTTCTACAACTGTTGGTTTCTACTTGAATCCTTTTTCTTCCTGGCTTCCTGGAATCACTATTTGTTTGGATAGTTCAACTAGCTTTTTAAAATTCAGCTTCTTTCAAGACACAGGCTTTGGTCAACTTCTTCTATTTGGCCTTGAACACTGCAGCTCCTGAGCAAGTGACTTCTTACCTGCAACACTGCTTCTAGGCTCTAGGCCTTGGAGGAATATCACATCCTAGATGAAATTTCAGTGCATTCAACTGGCAATAGCTTCACTTCCCTCTCCAATTGCCCTGATTTTGTCTGGGAGGAACTAGTTCACATGCCAGTCTTTTCATGTTCCCTGCTTGATCAAACTCTCATCATAGCTTTCTAATTAGGCATTCTTACTCTCATCTTTATCCACTCCAGCCAGCCATTCTCCTCACTGCCACTGGTTCTCTCTTGAAAGCCTAGATTCAATCATAGTACCTGTCTCATTAAACCTCTAACAGCTCTTCATGGCCTTTCAATATCTGACTGAACCTACTTTACTTATTCCATATTCTGCCACTTCTCTGCTGACCTGTAGGCTCCTCAGAGCGTGAACCATGCCTTTCTTTCTTTGTTTCTTTAATTTCTAAGATAGTGTGCCTGGCTCAAAGAAGATACTCGGTAGGCATTTGCTGAATGGACAAATGAACTCCAGATACTGTAAACTTTGAAACTTCTTTGACCATACCATGTTTAAATATGCCTCTGTCAAGATCTTCCCTGACTCTGTCTTTCAAGTCTTAAATATGCCCCCATGCATTCTTTTTTTCCTCACTAGAATATAAGTTCTCTGAGGGAAAAGACCATGTCTTACTTGTCTTGCTCTGACCCAGTGCCGGCACAGAGCAGGAACACTGTTGGATGGATGAATGAATAACATGCAGAGAGAAAAATATTAGATTTTAGAAGGTTTCCATGTAGTGAGACAGACTGATGAAATGACCAAAGAACATTGAAAAGAGATCAGTAAGTATAAATAAATAAGGTGCAAAGAAGTAAATTAAGTAGTCAGATGATGATGCATGACTGAATAAAGTGAGGGTCCATCAGGAAAGGGTCCCTAAAGGTGAATTTTGAGTTGTGTTTGAAAAGAGGAAAGGGTCATAACTTGGGAGAGCTAGGAGCTTAGAAGCATGTCATGGAGTTGGTTGAACCAAAGTATGGATAGCAGTAAGCCTGCTTTTTGAGCAGGATCTATTCTACGCCAGAACTGGAGTTCTGCCTTTTTTCCTGGCTCCCCAAACAGGCTTGCTCACCCACTTTCTGTGTCTTGATTTCCCAGGTCAGCCCAATGTAGGGCTTTACGTTCTCTAAGCTTCTGTGCAAATAAGCAAATAAAACTGCCCTGTGGGGTTGAACCCTAGTCCTCTAGGGAAATAAACTTCTGTGTTCCCAACAAAACAAACTGCTCCCAGAGTTGTTAAGGCAGGAGAGAAATGCAAAGGTAGTATAACTACTTGAGCACATCTTCACAAAAATGACCTTTTTTTTTTTGTGAGGAGATGGGGACCCAAAGAGGTCAAGGATGTATAATGAGTCATCTAAGAAATAGCGCTTGATAGCAAAATCTTGTCTTAGTCACATCTGGCCCCTTCCTAAAAGAATAACCCAAATATCCTTGGTACTGGACAAGACACTTTGTAGGGCTCAGATTGCTTCTACCTCCAGCACTTGTGAAATGGACAAAAACAGACTATACCACCGTCTCCTTAAAAATATCCTCTACTTTGGTAATCAGAACACTTTACAGAGTGGGAGGTGTATCTAAAGTCCTACAGAATCTCTTAACCCTAGTAGATGGCAACTGTCTTTCTATTAGAATAACCTAGTTTTCATGCAGTGTCGTTTTTCGGAATGTTCTGTGCCCAAGGCATTCCTTTTTCTGAATACCCAGTCTTACTATCTCCTGGTAGAGGAAAGAAAATTATGGTAGCATTAGATCACTGCATGTTTCTTGAGGGGTTCGGTTCAGAGCACCACTATTCTCTCTCACTTCCAAATGGGAACACAGGTTCCCAAGGTGGCAATGCGACAGCCTCTGAAGGGGCTCCTGATGTATCTGTAGGCTTACAGATCCCATACACGGATGTCACTCCGCCAGAACGTCTCTAGACGGCAGTGAAGTATTAAGGCCTAAACTAAAGTAGATCGTCACCAGCAGGGGGGCTTCTCGGATAGGCACTGCCTCCCCGCGCGCTGCCCAATCTCTCGGGGGTGTCACACCGAACTGTGATGTCACAGAGGATTGGATGACATTCTACAGCTGGACCCCCTAACAGCCACCCGCACCTTCAGAAGCCCGTGGAGTCGGCGGCGTGGAAGGGGCGGGAATCCTGCCCCAGCGTTTGATCCACGCTGGCTCTCCATGGAGCTCCCTCCACTCTCACTCCCACTGCGAGCAGTGTACTTCGTGGTCTTCCTGATCAACCCGCCCTTCGGCACTTTCGCCTCAGTAGGTGTCATGGCGCGGGGCGGGGCCGACCGGATAGGGGCGGCCTCTCGGCGCTCAGCTCCTCGGGTCTGGCGACAAAGGCGGCTGCGGAGCGAGGGGCCCGGCCGTGGATCCGGACGGCAGCGGGAGGCCGAGGCGGGAGCGCGCGGGGCTGAGGCGGCGGCGGCGGCGGCGGCGGCGGCAAGGGGCCGGACGGCGGAGCGGGCGGGAGGCTGAGGGGGCTCCCCCCGCGGGACGGGCGCGGGGACGGCTCCGGGGGGCGGGGGCCGGCGCCCGGGCCGGCTCGCGCGGGGGGTATGATGACCCGGCGGCGGGGCCCCGGATCTCGTCTCCTGCGCCGCCTCCTCGCGGCCGCCCCAGCTCGCGGCTGAGAACCAGACACACCGGCGGTGAGTCGCAACGGGCGGGAAGGGGCCTCGGCAGGCAGCGACCTCCCATCCTCTCCCAGAGGCGGAGTCGGGCGGGCCGCGGGCTCTCCGGGGTGTCCGGCCTGCGGGGAGCGCCTCGCTCAGCGGGCCCCCACCCGGCACCGGGCGGACCGGACTGCGTCCGCCGGAGAGCGGGAGGCTCTGGGCTTGTTTTCGGGGCAACTGCCACTTCTCTCCAGGGCGTGTTGTCCTCAAATGACAGGGGGCCGCCTTACGGCTCCTCACCCGGCCGGTTTTTCCCTGGCTGTCGCGGCAGGTTCCCAGTGTGTGGCTTGCGCGAGTGTATTTCGCAGCTCTAGCCATCACCGTGGTTTGGGATTATTTGTGCTGTTTGGGACCAGGAAGCGGAGTCTGGCAAGGACGGCGCTGGTCGGGTGGGTGCGGAAGCTTTTCCATCCTCTTCGCTTCTGGTCTTTAATTGTTAGGTTTGTAATTTGTAATGACGGTGGAGACTACGTGGGACCAGCCCACTTAGTATATATGTCTGTGTAAGGCAAACCTGGAGATCTGGCTCAGAGGGAAACTTTTGCATTCGGTAGCCACTTTCTTAAAGCTTTAGGTTTTTTTTTTTGTTGTTGTTGTTGTTGTTTTTTAAGGTGAGGAAAAACCAAAACTCTTGGGTAAAGCCCACACGGTTCACAGGTCTGTGGGAAATAGGCCCTTTTTGTGCCTAGCAACCATAGCAACCAAGACCTGGGGCTCGGTTTCGAAGAGCGTCGGACCTTCAGTTTGTTGTGGTGACAAACCCTGAGCTTTGGCCTGTGTTTATGCTGGGCGCGCTTTCTTTCCTGTTTAGGTGGGGGAAGGGAGGAGGGGCTAGAGAAGGAAAAAAAACAATTCCCAGCTCCAATATGACTTTCCACCATTTAAACCACTCACTCAGTTGTAGATAGACTATTTTTGAGGCAGCCCTAGATTATTCTGAGTGATATTTTGGGAATTTTCGTAGTTGCGTCAAGATATTCTTTTCGACTATAGAGTCTTTTGCCCAATCTGTCCTTTTTCTTATTTGTTACCTAGTAACACTAATGAAAACAGCAGCGTGCCTTCCAGCTCCTGGTGAAGTGGGGTTAAATTAAGTGGCTGATACCCTCAGCAAAACTCCTGGGTTTTGCTCCTGGTTGTGTAAAGCTGTTTTTTGATTTCTTGTCCATAGTGGCTTTCTTTTTTTTTTTTTTTAAAGATTATTTAGAAAATGCAAAGCATTATCAGCCGCGCGCATCCCCCCACCCTGACCTCGCAGCCTGTATATAGGTGTACAGCTTTCTGGAAAACATTTAAAAATCTAACAAATCATTTAACCTAACAGTTGTTATGCAGCTGGTGATTTTGGGTCTGTACATGCAGTTACCTCAGGGTTCTGAATTATACAGGCATGATGATATGATGAAAGATACCATTGACTTTAAGTACTGTTCTGGCTTGAAAGAATACCTTGGTAAAGAACTTATGGTTGAAACTGGAGGTAGTCAAGCTAGTAAAGCATCTGATGAGTTAAGTAGTGAATAAGATCTTGTAACATACTGGCTCTGGTTGGTAGTAGGACTTTTGCTGGTGATATTTTGATGAATAGTTGATCCTGTCTTTGGACATTGTTGTTTCATGGACTGTCGAGCAAGTTGATTTGTAACTTGAGTTTTAAAACCAAACCAGAACTCTCCCCTAAAAGAAAAAAAGAAAATCTCAAAAGTCACAATTCTCTGGAAAATAGAATTGTTTCTGTGGTTTTGTTTTCATAAGCTCAGCTCAGTCAGTGGTTGTGTTGATTTCAGTGTGCCAAGCCTGACTTGAAAACTTCTTACTCTTGGAACTTGTGCAACTTGTTGTTAGTTATATATTGTAATCAGTTCTTTTGTAATTTGTAGTACTTTTGCAGACATGAGCTTCCTGATCTGTCCTTTTATTTTCATCTTCATGACTGCATAAAGCAATGTTTTTTTTAGTTTTCAGTTAACTGTTTCTCCCCTTACATTTCATGCCATTCTGAACACAAATCATCAGAATCATTTTTTCCTTCAGTTACTACTTAACATTCACTGATTTGCATTTTGGTTCCTTTTTCACTTTCCTTTTTTTGTTTCTAATCTCTCAGCTACCAAAATGCCTTACTATATTTCTGTAGAGCATACTTTGGCACTTAAAAAAATTTGCATTCTGTTTTTATATTTTTCTCTTTTGTTTTTTTATTTTGTGTGTGTGTGCGTGTGTGTGTGTGTTACATTACCTAAGCAACATTCTAAGGTCTTTGAAGATAGGGAAACTTGGGTGTATTTCTTTTGGATTCTTCAAGGGCACGGTACCCTGCTTTCCTAGAGTACTTAACGAAAAAGAATCAAGGCCTGAATTGCTGCTCATTAGCTCTGTGTAAAACTTGTTTGGCTTTCTTGGGTCTCCTCTTTCTCCTCTTGAAATGAGGGGATTTTAGAAAGTTGTTTAAGGTCTATTTTAGCTGTAAGAGTCCCTGTAACTTTTTGCTAGTGTCCTCTACTTTAGTCAAACACATCTTTTTACTTAACATCTTTTCATTTTTCCACATCCCTTGGCATACTGGCAGAAGTTACCTCATTCATCTGAAAGCTGCTTTCATCTTCCATCTGCCTAATTGTTAGTTACCTTTCTTATGTCTTACTTGTCTTGAACATTTGCTGTCTGCTAAACAGGGTCCTCGTTTAGCATTTATGTTTCATATTGATCTGTGCTTTGTTAATATGACTTTTCATTACACTGGAAACTCCTTGAGGTATGGTGTTCTAAACTTTATAGATCTTATAGACTCTCTTGTGTACACGCTAAGATAGTACGCTTTTACCAAACACAAAAATGTTACCTACTTTGCTGTTGCTATGGATTTGTCATTCCAAATTCTAACAACTATTGAAATTTAGTGAATAATATCTTACCTTGGAGGAAAGCATCTTTCAGCCCAGTTTACCAAAATATTCCAGCGTTGGTTTAAATGGCTGGAAATTCTGTACAATTGTGGAGTTAACTCTTTTGTCAGCCAATGCCACCTATTCCACAGCTGATTTTTGTTTACTAGTTGGTGAACTGACTTGTTTCACATGGTTCCATATGAAGGAAAGTGCTATAGGCAGTGGGTGGGGAATTTTGATTCAAATAGTGTCCTTAGGGTTTCAAGCTTATTTTTTTCTTATGTATAACTATACTTAGAAAACTAACATTTGTATTCTTTTGTAGAGAAGAGTCTAATGTCTATCCCATCATGTGAGTATTTCTCTAATTTAGTCAGAATGACTTCTGAGATCCCCTTAGGTTTATATATGAAGAAGTAATGTGATCTCTGTATAGTCATTCATGCTGGCAAACATTTGACACATACTGTGTAAGCCCTTTGTGATAGATGCTAGTGAAACAAACAAACAAAAGAGCAAGAGATACTCTGCTGTTGAGAATTGCCCTACTGGAACTTGCAGTTTAGAAGAGAAGTCAACTTTTTAAATAAGTAATTACAAATTGTCATACTCAGAATAAAATCCAGAGTGGCCCACAGTCACTATGTGATCTGTCCCTTGTCTGCCTCTTTGGGTCTTGCTTGCTACTATTTTCTCCCTTGTTCTATTCCATCCATTCTGGTCTATTCTTCAAATAGGCCAAGAATGTATCTTGGCATAAACTTCTCTTTGACAGGAGTGGCTCCTTCATGTCAATTAGGTCTTAGCTTAAGTGCCACCACCTTAGGGGGCCTTCCCTGACCACCAAATCTTGTTTACCTCCCCCTTCCCATGATCTCTGTCATATCATTGTGTTTTGTTTTCATCATAGCATTTATCGCTAGCTGTTATTTTCTTGGTGTGTGGATATTTGTTTTCCCAGTAGACAGTAAACTCCAGGAATTATGGTATCTCATCTGTCTGGAACACTGCTGTTACCCTAGTCTGCCAGGCAGACATATTAGGTGCTCAATATGTATTTGTTAAATGAATAAATGAAATAAACAAATACACTTATGGTAAGTTTTAGCCCTTGGGGAAGCGTGTTCCCAGCCCAGAGTGAATAAACTAGTGAAACTGGCCCAGACGAGAGATTCTGGAAATATTGCAGTTTTACCCCACCCAAGTACTAAGAAGTAGTAGAATATGCTGTGGGAGCCTTTACCAAGAAACCTAACCTAGGAAGTGGTCTGGGGAAGGCTTTCCTTGGATATATTTGTCAGCATAAGGCTGACTATATAAACTAGCTGAAGGAAAATAGTTTTTCTCTCAAGTAATAGCCTGAAGTAAATGTTCCAGGTTGAAATGAGCATTCTCAGTGGGCAGGTGGCTCTGCTGCACACCATTATTCAGGGGCTCATGTTCTTCTCATTCGTTGCTCTGCTGCCCCTTAGGTGTTGTCTCATGGAGGAAGCTGGGTCTCTATGGGCTCCTGCTGGTGGAAATGGAAGGGAAAATGAAAGGCTCATCCACACATCACTTTCTGTTGGAGAGAGGGGCTGGTAACCATAGTCTAGCCGTGTGCCTGGGGATGAAGGAGCGAATAAAATTTGATCCAAATTGACAGTCAGTGCCCCACTAAAAAAGTGAGCTTTAATCAGAGACTAAAAAGAAAAGTAGAAGATAAAAAGAAGGCTTAGAGGGGAAAATGACATTCAGAGAGGGAATATCATGTGTAAAGAAACTGGGGCAGGAGAAAGCATGGTCTACTCTAGGAACCCAGAGAAATTTAGTAGTACCGTAAGATGGGAGTGCCTGGGGGCAAGGGTGGGTGAAACAAGGCTACAAAAATAACCAGGGTTTAGATTTTATAATGCCTGGCAAGCCTGGTTAGATATTTTAAGCAGGGAACAGATAATGCTTTTTTAACATCTTCAGTAGTAAGGTGAATTATGAATTGGGAGAAGGGACCTTAAAAAGGGGGCTTGAGAGTACCATTTGGGAAGACACATTAGTCTGTTGAAGTAAGTAGTCCAGAATTGTGCAGTAAAGGTGGAGAAAAATGGGTGGAGTAGAGAGAGGTATTTGGTATTCTGGTGAGTTTTTTCCCCAAAGTTATCTTGCTTTATTTTTATAAAATGTTTATTCTTACTTACCTATTTTAATAATATGAAAGTCTCCACTCTCTATGTATCAGTGTGCTTGGAGAATATGTACATCTGTGTGCATGTCAACTGAGGGCAAGTGCTAGGGGAAGAAATCAATATATACTACTGATTTTAGGTTATTTAGGTCACCAGTTGTTAAATTGTATCACAGTGGCAAAGATGACACCAAGGAGAAAAAGTAGGAATTTATTCTATTGGTGTGTGGGGAAAAGATGGGAGTTACTGAAAACTAAGGGCAAAACACTGACAAATAATTACCTAGGTTGTCATATGCAACTGTTTCATTCATAGATAGTTGCAATGCTTGAATTCTTTGTAGTAAGATGACCTACCTGTGGTGCCTATAGTGTTAAATAGACATGACCATGGCAGAGCATGGGGAAACTTAGTTTGACTGTTTTTGAAAGCCCCAGGTTCTAGCAAGACTCAATATTCTTTTTAGCAATAAGTACCACTAGCCTTTTGCCTATTCTAGTTCAGGATTAATGCAGTGGGGCAAATTTATCCTATTTATTTGGATGGTCAAATACTTGGAAAAATTGGCTTTGAAATGAAAAGAGTAGTTTATTGTTGAAGTCAAGAGGTGCAACGTTCTCAGGAGTCAGAAATAACTCAAAAATTAGGTATTACATTTCATGAGTTCTTTTCAGTATTATTACTTTAAGCCCTCATTTCCCTAAACTAGCTACAAACTGTAAATATTGTATTCAGATTCTTTCACTAAATAATTGTAGGTACATAAAGTTTGTGCTTATGTTTTTCTTATTGTTAAAATTGATAGCTCAACAGATACATGATGGAAAAAAATTCCTAAAATTTTCTTCCTTTCATTGTTTAAAAATTGGCTCAGTTTATGATGACAAATATGTTTGCAATGTAGTTTAATACATAAATTTTGTAAAAGCACTATTTGGTTTCGGAATTTATTATAATTTGGTATTATGTCAGTGATAGAGGTAAGAAAATATGATTTGTAAATTTATAAGCTGCTGAATTAAATTGCACTGACTTTATTAAGCTTTTAATTTACACTTTTTTCTCTTCAGAGTTCATATAAATTATGGAAACTCTTAAAGTAAGTCCAGAGGACTTTTTTTTTTAGAAATTGATATTCAAGGATTTGTTTTTCATTCCAGCTGTCTAGTCAGTGCAGATGGTTTTTAGTTGCATTCAGGCACAAAGAAATGTATACATTGCTTTTTTATGTTTTGTAATATCCTTTGTCATGCTTCCTTCCTTTCTGGTCATGTGTGTTTATTCTCTTATGACTGGTAAAATTATGCTATGTGTATTGGAGTGGAGACTCCCCCACCCTCCATATCTCAAGGACTGCACTGAAAAAAGGGAGGGGACATTAGGAAAAAAACAAAAGAAGCATTTGAAAATTCTGCAGTTTAATATGAGTGGGGGGGAGTAGGTATGAAGTTGATAGGCAGGGGTCAAAATCACCCAACAAATACTCAGTGTCTTTATGTTGCCAGAGTCTGTGATAGCTTCTGGTAGTGTGAGAAAAGAACAAGACAGACACAGTACCTGTACTTATGTAACTTACACTGTAGCTGGGAATGTAACATGAAGTAAATAATTTCAAGTTGTAAGAGAGGAGCATAGTGTAGTGGTAGTGCATGGTAGGGGTGGAGGTGATTGTAGGGAGCATATGTGTTTATGTGTGTGAGAACACTTGTCCCAGCAGAAGTCTTCAACATATTAGAGGGCCTTCCAACAATAGAAAGAAGGGCAATATGGCTGGAATGGAGGAATCAAGGTGGGGATTTTTTGGGAGATAGCAACCAGGTTTGGGGAAGCTTTTTATTAAGGCAGATTGAGGATTTTGGACTTGATCCCCAAAGCAATGGAAAACCCTGGAGGCGTGGTGGGTGAGGTGGTTAAGATTAAAAGCCTGGTAGTCATCTGATTTGCATAGTTTAAAAACAAAGATCACCTGAGCGCATCAAGATCAGTTTGGAGGCTACTGGCAGTATGAACTAGAATGGTTCAACAGAGGTCGAGAAAAAAATGACTGATTTGCAATATACCTAGAAGGTAGAATTGATAAGATCTGGTTATAGATTAGATATAGGGGAATAAGGGAGAGGAAGGAGTCAGGATAGTAACATTGAGTTCCAGGTGCTAAGCACTTTACATTTATTAAATCATTTAATTCCTAGAATAACCTCATGAGGTAAGTATTGCTATCACAATTTTATGGATGAGTAAACAGACTCATCGCCTACCTGAGTTTTGGCTTGAGGTGTTGGTTGTATGGTGTACCTTATAATTTGAGACAGAAAACTGGGGATGGGGTGGAGGCTTATAAATTTAATTATGGACATGTTGAATTTGAGATGTCTGTAAGATATCCAGGTGGCAATGTGGAGTGGTTATTTGGAAATAAGGATTTGGATTTCAAGAAGGAAGTCTGTATTGAGATAGAGATTTGAGGATCTTTTGTAGATGACTAATCTTGGTAAATAGTTACTGAAAAGGGGAAGAGTAGGAGGAGTTTGAGAAGGATTAGCATAGAGCCCCAAGGCATCTCAGGGCTATAAATTTGAGAAGGAGAAGATAAATATGAAATGGCTTGTATACTATGTCAAATGCTTGGACTTTATTCTGAAAGTATTAGTTTGGGGATTAGTCTTTGGGCTTACAGAGCTTGAGGCCTCCATAGAATATTCATGGACAGAAAGCTGACCTGGGCTGTACTCACTCTCTTAACTGGTACTTTTCTAAGAATAACTTCCCACAGTTCTTCAGAAGATACTATCTGGCCAATGGGTTTCAGCCCTGGGCAAGTTCACTACGGATTCAATGAGACCAAAGAAATGACAGTGGAATGTTCTTGGGGTTAAAGGGTTATACCCAACTTTATTCCCACGGTGGCAGGTCAGTCACTAGAATCCTGTCCACTGAGAGCGAGTCTGCATGCAGCAAGCCAGTCTCGGCCTCTGGGTCTCTCTACGCCCGCAGCAGTCTCAGTCTCTGCCCTTGGTGCTGCCACCACTCACTCCAGTGTCGTCTCCTCTCCTGCAGCCTTTCAGCTGTGCCACTGTGTGGCCCAGAGCACTGGGCAGAGCTCTTTATATAGAGTCAGTAACAACGTATTGCCCACAAGTATGTAGTGAAGTAGCCGACCAGGGCCAGGTGAGAATCCTGGCCACAGGAACCTTCACTTTATCCACAATCCTATCTGTAGACTTTGCATCATCCTGACTACTTTCTTCTGGTCAGTTTATCAGTGGTCTTCTTACAATAGTGGACAGAGCTAGACATTACTTTATGTATGATTGTGCAAAATGGATGGCTTTCACTTTGTCCACCATGTTCTGGACATTTTTCCTGTGAATATAGTTAAAATTGAATTAGCTTTTGTGGGGAGGGGAACATTACTACAAAATCTCTCTCTTACCTATTCAAAGTGTTTTCATATATGCTCTTGTTAAACCTTGTATCTCTTATCCTTGTGCTTTGTGCTAGTCATATTTTGGGCCTAAGTATAAGTCTGTATTTGTTTTAAATTTCATCTACTAGATTTGCCTTATATTTTCTACCCTTCCATGATCTTTTTGGACCTGTTAAGCTTAGCAATATTAACTATCCTGCCCAAATTTGGTTCATCTGTGAATTATAAGCTTGCCATTTATCCCTAAATTGAAATAATTGATTAAAAAGTTAACCAGGGCAGGAATGCAGACAGACCTGTGAAATGAACTCTGGGACCAAAGAGCCTGGGTTTGAATTCTAGTGCTGCCACTTAGTAGCTGTGTTATTTTTGGCAAATTACTTGAACCACACTATGCCTGAGTTTCCTTATCTGTGAAATGGAAGTAATGATAGTATCTGTTTCAAAGGGTTGTGGTGAGAATTAAATGAGTAGTGCATGTGAACTGTATACTACTTGGCACATAATAAGTGATCATCTTAACTGGAATTATTATTATGGTTGTTATTTTATAAACCATCATAGATGTTGGTAGTTTTTTAACAATATGCCCTCTTAGTGCTGAGTCTCAAAGAGTGTAATTAGGATTACAGATGCATAATTGGACCAAAAGAGTTATCCTTCTATGCTAGGAAACATATTTTGGAGAAGATATAAAGTAAAATCCCCACCAGATACATGTTGCTTTTGGTTTTTCTAAACAGAGTTTTCTTATATTCTAGTGGAAGGATTGTATGAAACGGGGATCTAATCTTCCTCTCTCCTTGTAGGTATGGCATCACAGCTGCAGGTGTTTTCCCCTGCATCAGTGTCATCCAGTGCCTTCTGCAGTGCAAAGAAACTGAAAATAGAGTCCTCTGTCTGGGATGTTTCTGGACAGAGCAGCAACGACAAATATTATACCCACAGTAAAACTCTCCCAGCCACACAAGGACAAGCCAACTCCTCTCACCAGGTAGCAAATTTCAGCATCTCTGCTTATGACCAGGGCCTCCTCCTCCCAGCTCCTGCAGTGGAGCATATTGTTGTAACAGCTGCGGACAGCTCGGCCAGTGCTGCTACATCAACCTTCCAAAGCAGCCAGACCCTAACTCACAGAAGCAACATTTCTTTGCTTGAGCCATATCAAAAATGTGGACTGAAAAGAAAAAGTGAGGAAGTTGACAGCAACGGTAGTGTGCAAATCATAGAAGAACATCCCCCTCTCATGCTGCAAAACAGGACTGTGGTGGGTGCTGCTGCCACAACCACCACTGTTACCACAAAGAGTAGCAGTTCCAGCGGAGAAGGGGATTACCAGTTGGTCCAGCATGAGATCCTTTGCTCTATGACCAACAGCTATGAAGTCTTGGAGTTCCTAGGCAGGGGAACATTTGGACAGGTGGCTAAGTGCTGGAAGCGGAGCACCAAGGAAATTGTGGCTATTAAAATCTTGAAGAACCACCCCTCCTATGCCAGACAAGGCCAGATTGAAGTGAGCATCCTTTCCCGCCTAAGCAGTGAAAATGCTGATGAATATAATTTTGTCCGTTCTTATGAGTGCTTTCAGCATAAGAATCACACCTGCCTTGTGTTTGAGATGCTGGAGCAGAACTTGTATGATTTTCTAAAGCAGAACAAGTTTAGCCCACTGCCACTGAAGTACATCAGACCAATCTTACAGCAGGTAGCCACAGCCCTGATGAAGCTCAAGAGCCTTGGTCTGATTCATGCTGACCTTAAGCCTGAAAACATAATGCTCGTTGATCCAGTGCGCCAGCCCTATCGAGTGAAGGTCATTGACTTTGGTTCTGCTAGTCATGTTTCCAAAGCTGTGTGTTCAACCTACTTACAGTCACGTTACTACAGGCAAGTGGCAAATGCTAAAAAGCATATCCTAGAATAGAGATCTGTCTTTATATTTAACATGTTACGTAGGGCTACATACAACAATGAATTTATTTACAGATTCCAAGATAGAAATAGGGTGTTTTAGTTCATTCCATGTATGTGTCATTCCTATATATAATTACATTTTCTTTATAAAATTTTGATTAACATTAGAAATGTTAATTCAGTCTGATTCTGAAGTTCTTAGTTGAATTATGCTAGCATCTGGTTCTTTCTTTAGTGCTATTATACCTAGTTTTCCCATTTTAAGAGTCTAAATATATAAAGATGTTTACTTATTTGTAATGAATTTGGGCATGTGCTGCTATTTTTCCAAGCTCTATCTTAGCAGGTAAGATGCCTTGGGAATAATTACAGGTTTAACTCTAGCAATATTTTACTCTTTTACATTTCTTTCTTGCATAATGGAGATAATTAGATTAGGTAAGTGCTAAGGTTTCTTCCTGTTTTAACATTCTTAGTGATATTTTTAATTTATTAGTTATGGACTTACTTGGTTATCCTAGAATGGTGTTGACCCAAGTATCTTACTTTGGTGACTTTGATTTCCAGACCTATACTTCTAACAAAGGTACCTTTTACATAAATAATATTTTACTGGGATAGTATTTAAATGCTGGTATTTACAATTTTGCCTATAACTAAGGAGCATTACTGAAAGAAAAGGATAAAGTCTTTTTAAATGATCTTTTATTTCTCAGTACCTCATTTATTTATTTGTCTAGTTAACTTAAGGAACCTGGTACTTAATTTTAACAGTCATACATTAAATACAAATTATACATTCACACAATCAAGAAGTGAAACAATAAATAAAAAAATAGATAACCCACAAAACATGTTTATTGGGAGGTATATCCAATGTATCAAATGCCTATAATAAATTTTGAGGAAACAGAAATTCTGAACTAAGAATTTGAGGGGAAATAATGTAAGAATATTTTAACCTAAAGAAGGACCCAGAAAAGCTATCTACATACTTTTTTTTTATAACTGTGGTAATATCTACCTAACAGGAAGTTTGCCATTTAAACCATTTTTACATGTACCATTCAGTGTCCTTAAGTATATTCATTTAATGTTGTGTAACCATCACCACTATTTCCAAATTCTTTTCATCACCCCAAACTGAAACTCTATGCCATTAAGTAATAATTCTACCTTCCCTCACACCCCTGGTCACCTCCGTTTGACTTCCTTCAAATTCTATGAATTTGCCTATTCTAGATACTGCATATAAGTAGAATCATGCAATATTTATCCCTTTGTGTCTGTCTTCACTTAGCATGTTTTCAAAGTTCATACCAGAGCATGTATCAGAATTTCATGCCTTTTCATGACCGAATAATATTCCATTGCATGTATATGCCACATATTGTTCATACATTCACTTGGATTGTTTCCAAGTGAGTAATGCTGCAATGAACGTGGGCATTCAATTGTTTCAGTCCATTTTCAATATATTTAAGTCTCTCTTTTGGGTATATAACTAGAAGTGGAAATGCTGGATTATAAGGTAATTCTGTCTTTAACTTCTTGAGGAATCACCAAATTGTTTTCCATAGTTGCTGCACTTTTTTACATTCCCAGAAGCACTGTGTGAAGATTCTAATTTCTTTGCATTCCCCCCAAACTTAATGTCTTAATGTTCTCTTTTCCCTTTTTTTTATGATAATTGCCACCCTTACATGTGAAATAATATCTTAATGATTTGTGATGGTGAGCATCTTTTCATGAATTTATTGGCCATCTGTATATCTTCTCTAGAGAAATGTCTGTTCAAGTCCTTTGTCCATTTTTGAATTATTTTTGAGTTGTACGAGTTACTTATATATTCTATGTATTAATCCCTTATCAGATATGATTTGCAAATACTTTCTCCCATTCCATGTGGTTGCCTTTTCACTCTGTTGATAGTGTTGTTTGCATAAAAGTTTTTAACTTTTATAAAGTCCAGTATGTTTTATCTTTTGTTTGTGCTGTTGGTATCATAGCTAAGAAATCACTGCCAGACCCAGTATCATGAAGCCTTTTCCCTGTATTTTCTTCTAAGAGCTGCATAGTTTTAGCTCTTACATTTAGGTCTGATCCCATTTTGCATTAATTTTTGTATATGGTATAAGGAAAGGGTTCAGTTTCATTCTTTTACATGTGGATATTCAGTTTTCCTAGCACCATTTGCCAAAAAGACTTACTATTTCTCCATTGAATGTTCTTGATAGTCTTATCAAAATCCTTTGACCATATATATATATATATGTGGGTCATTTATGGGCTGTTTGTTCTATTCCATTGGTCTATGTGTCTGTCTTTATACCAGTATAACAGTTTTATTTGCAGCTTTGTAGTGAGTTTTGAAATCAGGAAGTATGAGACATCCAGCTTTATTCTCTTTCTAGATTGTTTTGGTTATTTGGAGTCCCTTGAGATTCCATGTGAATTTTAGGATGAATTTTTCTATCTCTGCAAAAAACCTCATGTATTGCACTGAATCTGTGAATTGCTTTCAGTAGTATTGACATCTTAACATCTTTAAGTCTTCCAATCCACTGTGATCTATCTTTATGTTTTCTTTTTACAGTTTTATAAAACTGTTATTTCTTACTTGAGTAAGATAAATTCCTAGAGCCTTTGGTTTCTGGTTTCATGGTGCTCTAGGCAGCTTGGCTAATTTTGAGAATCTGAGCTCCATTTATTTATTCATGACTTGAGAGATTTAGGTTCCAGTTATATTTGTTTTTAATATTCTCCTTTGAGCAGTCCCACCACCACCCCATTGTACTTACACACAGCACCCTCTACAGGTACACTGGATTTCAGTTCTACATCTCATTTTGAGGATTGTGGAGGTAAAGGGGAAGGCACAGCTGAGGGATGAGGACCAATCAGCTTTTCCTTGATCTTTTCTGTAGTCAGTGTGTGCAGGTGTTCTTTAACTATTTGTCTCCCCTGTCCAAGACAAGATGCATTCTCTTGTAGTAATGAAAGCAATTAGATTGAAAAAGAGTGATAGTGGTAAGAATTATTTTGTGAAATAATGTTTGATGGAATTTTCTCTTACAGGGCAGACAAAGGAGATTTGAGGGATAAAAAGCTTAGCTTTCTTTAATATATAATTCATTTGAGTAATTTTCAGTGTTAGGTTGCTGGTCTTTGCTGTTTTTCATATTTTAATTTTATTTAAGCTGCCACTTGAGTAATTGGTTCTGTTTTTATAGAAAACATGATTTTACTTTTTAAAGCCACTGGTTATTACTTTTCAACAAAGCTTTCTATAACTCCATTGCATTTAGTTGTTGACTGGAGGAGTAATTTTAAATGGAGCTAAGTTTGCTCCTTAAAGTTCATTTGGTGTATTACCAAGTAATTATTGTGCATACTGAAGTCCAGTATCCAGGGCTTGACTGTGTTTAGGATTTAACATGAATTTTCTGTTGTATCACAGTAATATTTGATAGTGAGCCTAAGACAAGTGGAGTAGCAGTTTAGGCATTCCTTCTTTATCATTAGTTTTATCCACAGTGGTTATCTTCTTCATGTTGCTTTTTTACCTTACTAGAACCCATGAAGTTCTCACCCTCTTGTCTGTCAGAAAACCTCTTTGAAATTCTTTTGGCCAGTGAAGCTTTCTGGCTCCAAACCCAGCCACCCTCTTACCCTTCTTTTTCATTCACACTGCTTCATCTTGATGATGTAGGCCAAAATATTATCAGTTGTCATAAATTTTTACCACCATGCTGTTTCTGTTGGCCATGAACCTAACTAAATGATTCAGGCAGTGGAAATAATATACTTTGTTTCCTGACCCACTCTAAATGTAAATGTAGGCTAATTCCAAGAAAAGTTGCTGTCTTTGGGGCTTGAGTATTAGGCATAAAGGTTTGCCATGCTTACAAGCTCACTGCTTTTCCATCCTGAATGAACACAATGGCCAGGCTTTATTTAAATCTGAGGTCACTTTATTTGTTGTGTATGGGAGGACAAGGTCTGGAGAAGAAAAGCATGTTTTAGTTTATCCTAGGGAAACAAACCATTTTCATCTGACAGTAAAACTACAATTTCATCTAAGCCACAGATCCAGGAGAGTAGGCTTTATGTTATTATCTGTGATCTGGTCAGTAACTTCGATGCCATTGAGATCAGATCAGGCATCTGGAGGACAGGATGAAATAAGAGTGTTCATGAAAATGAGTAGAGAATTATTTGTGCTGTTAAGTCATCCTTAGCTTCCTCTGAATTCCAGTGAAATAATGCTTTATGACTTTGGGGGGGATTTTTCAATTGAACGAAATTTGAAGTTGGGAAATAAAAAATCAGGGATTGCTATTCCTACCACTTGATTACAGTTATTAAAGCCTGTTTAGTATTTGTTCTTCAACGATGGATGTACTTTCAAAGAGGAGACCCACCATGTCTAAAGTACAGTTAATGGTGTTTTCCTACTAAAGTGAATAGTGCCAATTTTGGTTTTTCCTCTTTCCTTTGCTTCAATAGGTAATCTTTTTTACTGCTCAATTGTTAGACTACTAGAGCCAGACAGGGACCTGGAAGAATAACAATCTAACTCAGCCTCCTTATTATACAGATGAAGTAGAAGCAGAATTTCAGGGTCTAGAGTTCAAATTGAGAGATTGAGAAATAATGGAGGCCAAGGGGAAAGATGATACAGTAATAAAAATACTACCAAGAATTATAATCAGAATTCAGAGTTTAAAACATTCAGTCTTTAGAGATGAATCTGCTCTAAGATGACTCCTTTCTATTTAGTACAAGAAAATAACTTCACTCTTTTTGTCTCTCATAGTTTAGGTAAGTCTGATATTCAGGCTATAATGATAATGAAAAGTCCTCAGTAGACTGAGCAGCCTTATTTATTTTATTGCTTTCATTTTTTTTCTTTTGATACTCACCTTTGTGTATGGTAAATACAGTAGAGTTAACTGTTTTGAGTGAGCTTTTGCTGGAAATCCTGACCTGCGTTGTTACTCCAGAAGCAGGGTGAGACTGAATAGAAAAGCATTCTAACCAAATTTTCAGGATTTTTTGTTTATTGGGGCTTAGGGGCTGGAATTAGTATTTTTCTTAATTTCCATGTAAATTTAAGCTTTAGATGCCTAACAGTTACCAAATATTATTGCTCCCTTTTTAAATAAGTAAATTACTGGGTGGCTTGGCCCTTCCCTATGACCTGCCTTTTGGGTTTTAAAATGTCTTCCTGGTATATAATAGGAATGGCAAAATCAATCTGCTGCTCTTCATTTGATGTTTAGGAATGTTCTAAGCCCAGTTTTTATTTGGCACAAAGCCATTTTCATTCTCTGCCAGCTAATTTTGGCACTGTCATGAACTTGGAAATTAATGATTCTGCTCACTGAAAATAAAAATTGTGTTCCTTTTCAATTTTAGAAAAGCTTTTATGTTTCTGGGTACTCTTACCCTCTAGTCTATTAATGCTGTTAAACATGTGCTGTCTGAAAAACATGCCATAGTGGTTGGGATTTAACTGAACTCTGAAATTCCATCAGTTTTATGTGGCTCTAGCCACCTGAAACAGGAATATCACTTTTGAAGGTTGTTTCTTTGGCTAACAAAAACCACAGTTCACATCAAACAGCGCAAAAACTGGCGATAGTAATGGTGCCACCCATAGCTGTCAAATAGTATACATTTCAGCAGGCCTGGATCTTCTGCTTTTCTGTGCAGGGATCAGGAAGGCTTCTAGGCCCCTTGGAATCCTCTAATTGACCCTATTTTTTAAGGGCTACTTACTTAGACCCTATTTTTTAAGGGCTAATATTTGGGGAAAGTGTTCTTATTTAGGGAAATATACTTATATCCTCCCCAATCATCCTTTGTCCCACCCCACCCCACAAAGAAACAGTAAGCAAATACTACTTGATAAATTGGGGGAACCTAGGCACTCTATGAGGAGACATGGCCTGTTAATATAGTTTGTTGTGGAGAGATAGGCTTTTCCATATAGCACCTGTTAAAGGAAGGCTCTGGATCTGGAGTGTCCTTATAGATTCATATTCAATGACTTGTATTTAAAGGAAAGGAAGTTATTTGGAGAAGATAATAAAGTGTTTAAGAACTCAGATCTTGGATCAGACTGCCTGGGCTCCATCATTTAGTAATTGTGTGGCCTTGGGCAAGTTATTTAACCCCACAGTGCCCCGTTTCTTCATCTATAAAATGGAAATGACACTTTATTACATAGAATCTAAGCTATTGTTGATTATAAGATGAAACATTATTTATGTACCAGTAAGAAAGTAAAAACACTGCCATTAAACTAAAATATACCATCATTTACAAGAATCATCTTAATTTCAGAAATGTTAAAATGTGAAAATACTCCCGTAGGATTGTTTTAAGGAGTAAATGACTGCATTTCTAAAGAACTTAGAATGGTGCATAGCACATGTGTGCATCTATCATTATCAATATTAGTGTTACTTATTATCATCCCCTTTCTGAACCCATTTATCTCTTAATTTTAGTCGCAGTTTGAAAAAATGCCATATATATCACCATGCCAGTTAGATTTACATAGACGGGTATGTACTTAACAGTTACTTATTTAGAGGCAGTGCAGTATGTTCCACTGTGAAGCCAGACTACCAGGATTCAAATTCTAGCTATGTACTTATTAACTGTGTGATTTTGGGCAAATAATAGTCTGTTTTATCTTTGTTTCCTCCTCTGTAAATGGGGATAATTTGCCTTTGTTGTGTTCATGTTATAAAGCTCTTAGTTTATGGTATTAATCTTCTTTTTAATGTTTCCCCTAGGTTAGGTTTCTCACTTGGAGCATTAATGGAAATGAATATTTCCAACAGTACACAAAGAATTCAAAGTTTTCAAATAATGATAATAAAATAGAGTTATATCTAATACTTGCACAGTGCTAACCATGTGCCAGGCATTGGTGAAAAGCTTTAATGTTTAAATTTAGTTACTTACTTAATTTATTTGTTTAAATCTTAAAACAACCCTATGCAGTAGGTACTCTTATCCTCATTTTATGAATGAGGAACCTGAGGCACAGAGAGATTAAGTAATTGCCTATAACTATCAAATATTGGAACTAGAATTTGAACCCTAATAGGCTGGCTGGTTCTAGAATCTGTGCTGTCAATGTATGTTACAATAAGAAGGCATTTTTGTCACAGAAGGATATTTATTGATCAGGCCATTTAATTGATTTTTCCATAATTAAAAAGGTACCAGGAATAAAAGGAATAAATATATGATCCTTTATGTTCTATTTCAAAATCCAGAAGGCTCTCAAAAGTAAAAACTTTTTTCTGAGTTTGGTTTAAGGTCTTTATTTAGCTGACTTAGTATGACTGTTCATATGTTTTGTGGCAGGAATATTAATGTGTTTGATTATGGGATGCTTCCCTAAACTCCACAGGGATTATTATGTAATATTTAGTTTTGCATGGTTGTAACTTTGTGAAATTAAAAATTCTGAATTACAAAAGACATCTGGCCTCTAAAGTTTCAAAAGATGTTTTTTATACCAAAGGTCGTTTTCAGTTTCATTAAATCGTGTATTTATAGCTGATATTAAAACAGGACTTAATCAACATGTTAGTTGATTTCCCCAAGTAATGTATTTTTTAATCTTTTATTTTTGTCTTTGGTAGAGCCCCTGAAATTATTCTTGGATTACCGTTTTGTGAAGCTATTGATATGTGGTCACTGGGCTGTGTGATAGCTGAGCTGTTCCTAGGATGGCCTCTTTATCCTGGTGCTTCAGAATATGATCAGGTAAGAGTGTTTATGTGGATGGAAATAGAAAAAAGTAGTTACTAGTGAAATAGGTCTAGAGGAAGAGAAATACTAGAGAAGTATTTTAGAAACTAGGGAAAGGGTAGTCCAATTAGAAAGTTTTTTTAAATACAGAATTTTCTCTACCTGTTTCTTAGTCCGAAGTTATGTTTGAAATTCTACAGTTAAAAAAGGATTTTATTTTATAGTATTTTAGATTGATACTTGTCCAGATCTGTAATAATTTATTAGAAACTTTGGCTAACGAATGTGTCTTGTGAAGAAAGATGTGAAAATAGGGATGAGGAAGTGGAATTTTAAGAGTGAACTCTGGCCCATTCGGGGCTGTTTATTTCCTTTTACATCACATACACTGAAGTATAAGTACTCTCTGCGTACTGAAACACCTTGGACCCCAGAAAGTGCAATGTTTATTAGTTCGCTCTAAAAGGGGTTAAGAAGGAAATCATATGAGTAGAAAAGTATTACAATAAATGATCTGTGTCTCAAAACAGACAAGCTTTGGAAGAGTGCTACAATTTCCTAAGGAGCTGTTCCTGAGGGATAAAGTTTTGCCGTGGAAATAATGACTTAATCAACATGTTAGTTGATTTCCCCAAGTAATGTATTTTTTAATCTTTTATTTTTGTCTTTGGTAGAGCCCCTGAAATTATTCTTGGATTACCGTTTTGTGAAGCTATTGATATGTGGTCACTGGGCTGTGTGATAGCTGAGCTGTTCCTAGGATGGCCTCTTTATCCTGGTGCTTCAGAATATGATCAGGTAAGAGTGTTTATGTGGATGGAAATAGAAAAAAGTAGTTACTAGTGAAATAGGTCTAGAGGAAGAGAAATACTAGAGAAGTATTTTAGAAACTAGGGAAAGGGTAGTCCAATTAGAAAGTTTTTTTAAATACAGAATTTTCTCTACCTGTTTCTTAGTCCGAAGTTATGTTTGAAATTCTACAGTTAAAAAAGGATTTTATTTTATAGTATTTTAGATTGATACTTGTCCAGATCTGTAATAATTTATTAGAAACTTTGGCTAACGAATGTGTCTTGTGAAGAAAGATGTGAAAATAGAGATGAGGAAGTGGAATTTTAAGAGTGAACTCTGGCCCATTCGGGGCTGTTTATTTCCTTTTACATCACATACACTGAAGTATAAGTACTCTCTGCGTACTGAAACACCTTGGACCCCAGAAAGTGCAATGTTTATTAGTTCGCTCTAAAAGGGGTTAAGAAGGAAATCATATGAGTAGAAAAGTATTACAATAAATGATCTGTGTCTCAAAACAGACAAGCTTTGGAAGAGTGCTACAATTTCCTAAGGAGCTGTTCCTGAGGGATAAAGTTTTGCCGTGGAAATAAATTGTGAATTCACATTCTTGTTCTTTTAAAAAATCATTCTAACCACTATGCTCTAAACTCTTTGAGGGAAGAGACTGTTTCATTCCATCAGTTAAAACTCAGCTCTGTTAATGGACACTTGGATTGTTACCACCTTTTGGCTATTGCTAATAATGATTCTGTGAACATTGGCATACAAGTGTTTTAAGGCCCTGTTTTCAGTTCTTGTGAGTATATAGCTGGAAGTAGAATTGCTGGGTCATATGGTAATTCTTTGTTTAACTTTTTGAGAAATCAACAGACTGTTCTTCACAGTGATTATGCCATTTTATTTCCACCAGTAATGCATAAGAGTTTGAATTTTTCCACATCTTTGCCAACACTTTTTTTTTTAAACACTAGCCATCCTTATGGGCGTGAAATGGTATCATTGTAGTTTTGATTTGCAGTTCTCTAATTAGTGACGTTGAGCATCGTTTTATGTGCTTATTGGACATCTATGTATCTTCTTTGGAGAAGTCTGTTCAAAGTCCATTGTCGCTTTTTGACTTGGGTTGTTTTTTGTTGTTGTTGAGTTGTAGGAGTTCTTTATATGTTCTGGGTATTAATCCCTTATCAGATACATCATTTGCAATTACTCTCTCCTGTTCCATGGGATTGCCTTTTCATTCTGTTGATGGTGTTGTTTACACAAAAGTTTTAAATTTTAATGAAACCCAATTTGTCTGTTTTTTCTTTTGTTGCTTATACTTTTGATATCATATTCGAGAAATCATTGCCAAATCCCACATCATGAAGAAGCTTTTCTCTCATGTTTTCTTCTGAGAGTTTTATAGTTTTAGCTCTTAAATTTAGGTCTTTGAGCTATTTTAAGTTAATTTTTGAAAAATAGTGTAAGAAAGGGTCCAATTTCATTCTTTGCATGTAGATAATTCAGCTTTTTCCCAACACCATTTGCTAAAAGACTGTTCTTTCTCCACTGAATTTTTCCAGGCATCCTTGTCAAATATCAATTGACCATAAATGTAATGATTTATTTTTGGACTGTCAGTTCCATTCCATTTATCTGTATCCTGTATCTATCCTTATGCCATCACCAAACTGTTTGAATTACTGTAGCTTTATAGTCAGTTGTGAAAACAGAAAGTGTGAATTCTCTTTGTTTTTGGTCAAGGTTGTTTTGACTATTCAGGGTCCTTTGAGATTCCATATGAATTTTAGGGTAGATTTTTCTTTATCTGCAAAAAAAAGGTCATTGGATTTTTTTAAAAATAGGGATTGCATTGAATCTGTAGATAATAGGTTTTTCTTTAGCAGTGTTTTGTAATGTCATAGTACAAGTTTTACATTTCTTTTGTTAAATGTGTTTCTAAGTATTCTATTTTTTTAAGCTGTAGTGAATGGGATTTTTTTTTACTTTCATTTTCAGATTGTTCTTTGCTAGTATATAGAAATACAGTGACTTCCGTAATTGATCTTTTGTTCTGCAGCCTTGTTGAACTGCTTTTCTAATAGTTTTCTAATAGAACTCTAATAGTTCTAATAGATTTTTTATATGAATTCATTACAGTTTTCTAACTACAAGAACTTGTCATCTATAAATACAGTTTTCCATCTCCCTTTCCGAGCTGGATTCCCTTTTTTTCACCTTGCCTAATTGCTTTACACTGAACCCTTAAGTATAGTGTGGAATAGAAATAGCAAGAGTGAAAATCCTTGTCTTGTTCCTAATTTTAGAGGGAAAACATTCAGTCTTTCACCATAAAGTATGACATCAGCTATCAATATCAGCATTTTCATAAAAGCTGAAATTTTGTAGCAGATGTTTGTGAGTCTTGAAGTCAAAGGAACCCCCCCCCTCTCTAGGTACTAGTTAATGGCCTCAAGTTTGCTGGAAACATTTTAATTGTTTAAAATAACAAATGGCAATTATACTATTTGTTTGCATTGATGTGGAGGTTTTGTTGTGCTTTTTATTTTAAGCTATGTGGGAAGCAATGTCTGGATTATAATGGCTTCCCATTCCACCTTCACAATGAAACTATTTCATTCTATAATATTAAAAATTTTTAATGTTTTAATTATCAAAATGCATCATTGTAAAAAAATTACAAAAGATGGAAAAATCCAAGAGACAAAAATTTCAACCTCCTGTAGTTCTGTGCCTCAGAGGTAACCTGTTATATTTTTATATATTTTGCATTTACATTATATATATAGTTTGTTAATTTTCATCATGGGTTTATTGAGTATCTACTTTGTATCAGTTCCTCTGACATTGAGGATACAGTACTGAATGAAACACTGTCCTTGCCCTCATGGAGGCTCTAGTTTGGTGACAGGAAACAGACATGAAGTAAATAACTATATAATACAATTGAGGGAATTCTGTGAAGGAAAAATATAGTTTGCAGTGTGTATACATGCACATGTGTATCTCCTGACCATTTATGTCCTGATGCCTCTTGATTATACTCTTTTTTGCATAATATCCTAGTCCATGCTTTCTTCATTACTTAGGTTACTAGACAGTGTCCTTTCATCTACTCTGGACTCCCTCTTGTCTTCTTTCCAGAGTGATTTTTCAAAACACAAATTTGATCATCCTAGTTCCCTGCTCTTCAGTGGTTTCCAATCACTTTTAGAATAAAGAGCTAAAACCTTAATATGACCTCTGTGTCCCTACATGGCTTACACCACTTTTTCTTGCTTTTAATGCTCTAGCCCCATTGGCATCATTTCATCATTATTTAAGAATATGCTTGCCCCCAGCATAGATCCTTGCACATACTGTTCTCATAGTCTGGAATGCTACTCCACCACTCATTCATTTCATTTACTCAGTGTCCGCTCATTTATTAGCTAAAGTGTCATTTCCTCAAGGAGCTTTTCCTTACCAAGCCCCAGTTTAGGTCAGGTTCCTGTTGATATGTATCTTTAGAGACCTATTTATTTCTTTCAGAATGTCATTTCAGTTTGAATTAAACATTCGGTGTCTGTCTCCTTTGACTGCAAGGTCTATGGGAGCAAGAACTATGTCTTTTTAAAATCACCATTGCCTGGCTTAATCAGGACTTGCTGAAAGGATGAATATATGCTGTAAATAGTTAGGTTCCATATATAAAGTTAAGGATATAGTATATATAAGTATAGGTTCCATATACAAGTAGAGGAGCATACATACTGTATTTCATCAAATCTAACACATCATTGGTTGAAAGGTGCACCATTTTTCTGTAGTGCTAAGAAAGAATGCTGCCATGTAACTATGATAGTTATCAGTTATAAGACAGTTCCTGATTTCAAGGATATTAATGTAAGATAAAAGGGCCTTTTCGAATCAGTGAAATGTTGTAAATATTTTTTTAAGTGAGATTATATATAATTTGTAACCTGCTTTTTCTACTTAGTAGTTTGTGGAATATCGTTACATGTCAATAAACATACTTCTGATCAATCGTTTTAAATGTCTGCATAGTATTTCATTATATAGATTTTATCCTGGATTAAAAAAAGTTCATCCTTTTTGTATGGAAAAGAAGTTTACATTTAAAATGTTCTTACCCACATTTTAAAATTTGCTTCTATTTTGCTAATTTTATATTTGGGTTTCTTGTTACATAGCTGCCACAGATTCAGAATAATACCCTGCTTGTTGTCTAAAACTGCCTAGTGATGGCTGGTCAGACTTGGCCTATAGGCCATAGTTTGCTGCCCTCTGCTTTACACTACTAGAAAATTGTTAAGGACACCAAAGAGGTCTGTTTATATAGCTTGTATCTATTAATATATACTGTGTTAGAAGTTAAAACTGAAGATTTTGGTGGGGAGAAGAGGAAAGTAAGATTTATTTCCTTGCTTACAAGTTTCTTTCTCTAATTTTATCTTAGTATAGACATTCATATGTGGAATAGGGATGGTAAAAGAAAATTGCCCCTTATATTGCTCTCAATAGTGAGGAGAGAAGCAAATTGCCTCTTCTGTTGCTTTCCTGGGTGGAGAAAACTGTGGAAGGAAACACAACTGTGAACAGTAAAACAGGGAAATGTTTAAAACTCAAGCGTATAGAAGCATATGTTTTATGTTTCATTAGTCATCAGAGCAGTGACCTCATTACACATCATTTCTGGAACCTATATACCCATGAAAAGAGAATCAAAAAGGCAAATAACTTCTTGGTCTTACTTTGAAAATAGTTTCTACCTCATAGACCCCCTGAAAAATCTTGGGGACTCTCCAAAGTCCCTAGACCACATTTTTTAAACTGCTGGGCTATTTCATAATAGGTGTTCAATAAGTGTTGAATGAATGAACATAGTATCTGCCCTCTATTGATACAGGGATGGAGAAGCTAAATTAAGTGCTTAATTTTATAGTGTGAGAGAGAACCTCTGTGGTAATATAGGATAGAGGCAGTTGTTAAGATCTCGAGTGGCCAAAGATTAAAGAGGTGTATGGGAAATTTTTCCTAATTTTAAAAATCTGATATGTCCCAACAAACAAAACAAAACAAAACCCTTGGTGATCCTTGAATAGTTTGTTGGAAACTATTCTGTTCTATCCTGGAAATCTCCTTAAGTTTTCTACACTTTGCATCAGAAGTCTACAAAAAAGCAAAAATAGTTACATCTGAAATTTTCAAAACTTTGAGTTTTCCTTGTAAATAACAGATACAGTAACGTGGAAGTTAAAACTGAATAAATATTTGGGAATTACTGGGAGTGGGTTAGCACATATATATATGTATATATATATATTTATAAATCAGTTTTTTTTGTATTGATCAAAGAGTTAATTTCTTTGCAGTACCTTTTCTTTTTTTGGCTAGAGCTAATAACATTTTAATGTACAAGTTTTTAGTAATTTCCCTTCTCATTCTAAATCAGTGTTTTGATGGTTTTGATGTTTCAGATTCGTTACATTTCACAAACACAAGGCCTACCAGCTGAATATCTTCTCAGTGCTGGGACAAAAACAACCAGATTTTTCAACAGAGATCCTAATTTGGGGTACCCACTGTGGAGGCTTAAGGTCTGTCTCTCCTACTGTACTACCCATTTCCATACTTCTCACTCCCACCCTTAAATTTAGTTACTAATTTCTTGAATTGGAGGAGAGAAGAAGGTGTGTGAGGTTGGGGAGTGAGGGGATGTATGTTTGCAGGAGGAAATACTTTGAAAAATTATTTCATTGTACCCATTCGGCCTTATCCTTAGTTAAAAAGTAAAACATTAAATGTCAGTTCAGTTGGAAGAGGTTATTTTTATGTATTTTAATCAGCAGCTGAGAAGGAGTTATGGAGAATAATGCTTGCCATTAAGTGAGGGAGAAGTAGAGTAATTTAGTAATGACTATTTTTAGGGAATTTTCAATAAACATAACAAAACCAACATCATTTTCTAACTGGCCATATTAAGGCTTTATACATTTTCTTGAAACAATGTCTGCTTTTTACTTCTGAGCCTACTCCTTTAACTTGAAAGATATCAGTAATTTGATAACCCTGCTACTGTCTGCCTCTGAGCCTGATAGCATTTGAAATATCATTTCATTAGAAAGTAGCTTTAAGAGAAAAATGATCATGTCCCTTCTTACTTAACATTCTTCAGGAGCTCTGCTATATCATCGTTTGCATGTTTACCACTGTTGAAAGGCAGCCAGATATCAAGGTCCCATCTTTCTACTGGGAGATTATCTGGTTGTAAATTACTTTCGTGTTTGCCATCTCTGGTTTGTAAGGTGATGGTGCTTATGTCTTTGTGTTCTGGCTTTAATTTAGAATAAAATGTGAAAATAACGTACAGATAGAATTTTTATAAATCTGGTTTTACAGACACCTGAAGAACATGAATTGGAGACTGGAATCAAATCAAAAGAAGCTCGAAAGTACATTTTTAATTGCTTAGACGACATGGCTCAGGTGAGTATAGAAAGTTTCTGAAAGCCAGACATTTATGTATCTCTTTAATCAGAGACACACTTCCATTGGTTATATAAAAGATAGATTTAATCTGTTATCTTCTAGCATGTTTTAATTTTTTAGAGAAAAAGCACATTAATATTCTGCCATTGTATTAAAAGAATGTTTGAATACTAACAAAGGATACTTGTAGAATTATGTATTTCTCCCTTGCTGTTAACTGGTCTTGTTGCACGTCAGTATTTTGAAATATTATTTATGATGGTTTCTTTCTTAGACATTTTTTCTACTTGAATAACTATTTACATAAGAGCTAACATTTGTTGAATGCTTGTTATGTTCCAAACTCTGTTTAAAACACCTTGTACTAATTATGTTTTTTAATATTTTCAACAATAGGAAAGTAATAATAGTCACTTTTGCTTAACTTGATTTTGAGAAAATGAAAAGAATTTAATCAGCTTTATTCTACCAACAAACTCTTCCAAACTGAAGATTTTAATTAGTCAGTGTAAGAAGAGCTTCCAGTTGTGAAAATGACTATACTGTAATAAAAAGAACTTCTTCAAGTTTTCCTCTGGAGCCGTGTGTGTGTGTGTGTGTGTGTGTGTGTGTGTGTATGTGTATGTGTATGCATATATGGCAGATATTTAGTGTCAGCATTAAAAGTTAAGTGAAGAAGTATAATATTCATAAATTTTGCCTTGGCAGGTGAATATGTCCACAGACTTAGAGGGAACAGACATGTTGGCAGAAAAGGCGGATAGAAGAGAATACATTGATCTGTTAAAAAAAATGCTAACAATTGATGCAGATAAGAGAATTACTCCTCTGAAAACTCTTAACCATCCGTTTGTGACAATGACTCACCTTCTGGATTTTCCACATAGCAATCAGTGAGTATGGTATGGTCTTGGGCATTTTGCTATGATGTGGTTCTCTGTTGTTATCATCTTATAGCTGAATGGAACTATCATGTGAGCAGCAGCTTTGGTACTTGCATATTTGGTTCACTGATGCATGTCTTTCACAGTGAAAAATCATGGCATTAAAATTTAGATGTTTATTTTTCCTCTTTATGGTTATAAAAGCTCTTGATTCATTTTATCTAAAAGTACTCAGGGGGTAAAAACTTTGTGTTCATTTTGAGTTATGTGCTATCTTTTCAGTGAATCTTTAATCTCTTTTTTCAGTGTTAAGTCTTGTTTTCAGAACATGGAGATCTGCAAACGGAGGGTTCACATGTATGATACAGTGAGTCAGATCAAGAGTCCCTTCACTACGCACGTTGCCCCAAATACAAGCACAAATCTAACTATGAGCTTCAGCAACCAGCTCAATACAGTGCACAATCAGGTATTCTGTAAATAATTTTGAAAACTCAGACCTAAGTGAGTGAAGTAAAGAAATCAGTCTTTGCTTTGGTGTTCTTGTTGCTTCTTAATTTTCTACTTGGCAAAAGTGATCGAGGAGTGGGTAGGCTGCTAATACCTTCGAGGCACCTGCTGACAAATGAAACATAAAGGTCTAACCTGTGCTCTCACAGTCAGCACAGCCCAGTAAACACACCCTGGGTGCTGTACTACTTACTATTAGTTGTACTGACTTTAGTCAAATGACTCCTTTTCTCCATTAGGATGATTTTATATGTCTCATTATATGATTGAAGGGTGTTGCCAACAATTTTTTTCTCCATGCTGTACATTAGATCCTCAGAACTTACCCATAACTAGAAGTTGGTACCCTTTGACCCATTCTCTTCCCCCCATCCCTACCATGCCCCTACCAACCACGTCTACTCTGTGTCTATGAGTTCAGTTGGGTGTCTCCAGGAATTAACTTTAGAGTGGTTTTGCATTTGGTTGCTAAACTAAGTGATAGTTGTTACATTTACGTTTGTTTCTGAAGATGTGAGCTTCCTAATTTCTTAGCTAGGTCTACTTTTTAAATTAGATTTGGTGGGATCTTACATCCAGCAACTTTTTGCACAGAAAGAGGAGGAAGTGGTTAATGGGTCAACAGACCCATTTTTTTTTATTCTTTGTTTTTTTATTCAACTTTATAATATGCCTTAAATTTCAAGATTGGGAACATTTCTTAGAGAATTATTTCAAAGACAGTTAATGTTACATTTTAAACTTTGTTTTAGGATTTTCTGGGTAGATTCAGTGTGCATGAAAATATTGTTATCCCCACTTTGTACTCATATACAACTATGTAACTCTTGTTTTTAGGCCAGTGTTCTAGCTTCCAGTTCTACTGCAGCTGCTGCTACTCTTTCTTTGGCTAACTCAGATGTTTCGCTGCTAAACTACCAGTCAGCTTTGTACCCATCATCTGCAGCACCAGTTCCTGGAGTTGCCCAGCAGGGTGTTTCCTTGCAGCCTGGAACCACCCAGATTTGCACTCAGACGGATCCATTTCAACAAACATTTATTGTATGTCCACCTGCTTTTCAGAGTAAGTGGGGAAACTCCTGTATCATATGGTATTAGAATAGATCTATCCGCTTTAGGGAGATACTTATTAAGTATCTAGTTCTTCAGTTTTGATCTTTGACAAGTTTAAATTCTGTCTTATTATGAAGGTAACTGAAATCAACAGTGTATTTACCCTTCTGTTACATTTGGTTACTTATCTAATTATGTTGCTACCTAACACACTACAGGAGCTCAATTAACATTTCCTTATTTAACAGTTTCCTGCTCTTGTGACCTTGTACCAATGTCATATATCTTGTATAAGCATTGTATCTCTGAATATGCAGAATATATACATTTTGAAAGCAAATTTGTTGTAAATAGAATTTCTGTATACTATATCATACTTTTATTATTTCATTATAAAATAAAATTAGTGTTTCATATAAAAAGTAATTTTATTCTAAAATGTTAAAATCATGTCTAAGAATGTGGAAACTTCTAGTTAGATTCAGAAATAAAGATTATTGAACTGAAAATTCTACAAGTTGAGGTGCATATGTGGGCAGGGCATTAAGATTATATGCTTCAGTTTATGAATCATATTCTTGTGAACTCCCATCAACAGAGGAACAGAATAGCTGAAGAATAAGGCTTATACCCCATGTGTTGCAATAAGATTGTAATTTTCACATTCCCATCCTTCCTCATTTTCTTGTTCTGTAATCCAGTCTATCCAGTTCCCTTTTTTTCTGAAATACGGGAAATGTGTATTTATTTATCTGGTGATCCATTTAAAAAGTTAAATTATTTTAAGTTAAAATATTTAAGTTAAATTATTTGATATTTAAATAAAGTTTAAAATATTAAATCAAAAAATTTTTTCTGATGACACACTTGACTTTTCCAAGAGAAAGTCAGTGTCAGTACCCTGCAGGAGTAAACCAGGATTCAGGATTCTCATAGCACTTTACATAGAAGCAGATAACATTTTTATCTTTTTACTTGAGTGACTTTTTGACTGTGGCTCTTTTGTTTGTTTTCTGACAGAGTTAGAGCAAGCACAAGAAAAAGAGGGGCTAGGGGAGACTGAGAGATTACTGGGGGGACAGGAGGACGCTAGTGATGTAAACCAGGGAGAAACTACGGGGAGTGCGGAGGGGCAGATCCAAAACCTGTAAATGCAAATTTAGGCAAACTTATCAGATCATTTTCTGCATATGCTTCATAGTACTAAATTCCATACTTTGGGTTATATGTTGAGTGATTTTTCTACTGAACTTAGCAAACTAGCTACCTCTTTCCTCCTCAACTTTTCCAGTTGAGTTTCATTGGAACAGTTTTCAGATGTGAGACTGAAGTTTTCTGCTTCTTCTCAGATATTATTTAAGAGATGGGGTGCAAGAACTTTTCAGTTCCTTTAACAAAAGAAAATGTAAACTGAAGAGTTAGATGGGGAAGTGGTATAAACCCTTTTGGTATAATTAAGTATAACCTTTGGAAAGTTTTTTCCTGTTTAGGAAGTCTAAACAATCTAGGAGCTATGTAGAGCAAATTATAAAACTTCTACATAAAGGGAGTTTTTAAATTAAGGTGATAAGGATGATGATAGCTAATATGCGTTACTACATGCCAGATAATGTTCTAAGCACTTTTACATGTATTAATTCATCCTCACAGACAACCCTAGGAAATGGGTAATGTCATTCTATTCATATGCCCAGTTTATAGATGAGAAAATTGATCATGATGATTCCCTCATCTGCCCAAAGTCTTTATAACTTATAAGTGGTAGAACCTCAATTTGAACCCAGTCAGGGGGCTTCATAGCTTAGTATTTAAAAATACTATTCTATACTACCTCTCGTATTTAAACTCAAAAATAGCTGTAAAGAATCTGTCATTTGATTTGCCAGCCACAGGCATATGCTGGTTTCTGCCCAGCAGTTCTTTATTACAGGTTGCCTACTTTTCTTTCACCATCTGCTCTTCTAGAAGATGCTTATGCTTAGAGGAAAAAAAAAGCCCTCATCAATGAGACAGTTTTACTCTTCTATCAATACTTTCATGTTTTTTTATTTTAAAGGTTGTGTTCAATAAAAAAAACAAAATGAAACAAAACTTTAATGCTTCTTAGTCCAGGGTTTAGTGAGAACCTCCAAGTGTTGCCTTTTGTTAATTCTTTGTTTCCACTTCTGGTTCCCTTTACAAGCTAGTTTTAAACTAGTTTGACTGCTGAGGCATAGCCTACATTACTAGAGCAATCTAATACTTTGAGTCACATTTGTAGGTCAGTGCTATAAATACTACTCTGTATAGTATTCCAGTTGACCAAAATAAATGTAAATTTTACTCAGTTGTAATTATTATTCTGTAATTTTGTCCCCTTTTACTTCATTACCTGGGGACCCATAGATGAGCTTCTGTAGTGCACATTTCTTCTTAAATTTGCCTCTGTTCCTATCAGCTTGTAAGAGGCTATTGAAATAACATTGTCTTGTAGTTAGCCATGTGTCCTCAGAATAGACAAGAATTTTGATGTTGCTTAGCTTTTTTTATTAGATAGCAATGCTTTAGGAAGAATGGCTGGCAGTTTTTTTTATCTGGATACCTTGAATTTTTTTACCTTTTATTTTTACTTAAGCAGCACTTTAAAAAAATCTATTGTTAAAGTGTTTTAATTCTGATTTTACTAATCTCTGTACATTTCTGGGTGTGTTTTTCTATATGAAAACTTACTACTAAAATACTTAAATTTACTGAAAAGTAAAATGAGACTTGCTGAAAATAATGGTATTAAAGTATTAGTTATGTTCATTTGATACCTTCATAGTAATTTGAGAGAAATTAGTTAGTGATAGCATAGAAAGTGTCACTGGAGTATTCCAATTAAAAAGTGTTGTATCCTCACTTAACAAAACTGTAGGTAGGCATTAGTGAATTAGAAGTATAATAGAAACTTAAATTATCTACATTGAGAGTTTTGATATAGTAAGTTTAAAAGAAAGCTTTGAAGGCTCTCTTCTCAACTCTTGGCCGAAGGGAGAACTATCTTGAGCCTCTTTTTTCCCCAGAATGAGAAATTCCATTTGTAGGTAACATTTATTCAGCATTTGTGCCCAGAGTATAATAAATAAAAAAATTAATGAGACATGGTCACTATTTTAAAAACAGCAAAAAGTTCTTGATTTTGCTAGCTGTTCATTAGACACAAAAGAGCCTTAATATTATTAGAAAGCTGTCAGGGACAAGAGAAGATTTTTTAAATAAGTAGAAAAAAGTGTTTCTGTAAACCACAAAGTATCTACTTTAAAAAAAACTTTATCCTAGGCATGATTTTCTTCTGTTCACTTACTGGTTAAAGATGAAATATATGACTAATTTATGTACTAGGTTATATTTTAGGGGAGTGGGATAAAACATCCCCTTAAAGTATTCTGGAAGTGTTAACTCAGATGATAAATTATTGAGCTTTTCGTAATTTTTTCTTAATTAGCCAAAAGTTGTATTAAAATCTTTGCTTTTAATAGATAACATTTAAAAAATAAACAAGTTCCCCCCCACACTGGATTAAAGGTCAATGTAACTAGTGAAGATTTTTTGTTTTTTTGTTTTTTGTTTTACTTGTATGATTAATGGGAATGTGATGAGTGTTGTTTGTAGCTCTGTAGGATAAAAAAATTTTAGAGATCCTTTAAACCAGCCCTGCCTGTAGTAAACATCTTCCCAGTAATCTAACCTGAAGGGAACCAAACCAATTGATCCCTCTTACTCCCTAGGCTTCTGTGAAATTCCTGTAAGTGTCTATAACTAAGACCTGGGTGGTGGATTATTTGAACAGGAAAGCTGAAAACAGAAACCCCAAATACCCCCAGACCTAGCAAAGCATTTTACTGTGATTTTTCTATAGCTGGACTACAAGCCACAACAAAGCATTCTGGATTCCCTGTGAGGATGGATAACGCTGTGCCAATTGTACCCCAGGCGCCAGCTGCTCAGCCACTACAGATACAGTCTGGAGTTCTGACACAGGTAAAACCCAAAGCAACTTGGCACTCAGTAGTGCTGAGCACTGCTGAGAATCAGATATTTTGTCCTTTCTAGAAAACGGTATTTGCTTTGACTTTAAGATCTTTCTTGGTCATGATTCAGTGGACTTAAAATGCGACATTTATAATGGAACAAGGTACTCATTCCTAACACTGCAGCTCAGCTGCTGTCTTCCTTAGACTAGCAGGTAGAAATCTGTAGACTTTGAGGAATCAACTTCTCAGTAAATTTATTCTTAATTTTGTGTGATGAAGTTAATTTTTTATCTTGGCCCTCTTAAAGCTATAGCACAAATGTATCAACATTTTACATCTAAAAATAAAAGGTTCCCCTTTTGCTCCGTCTTTGAGAATTTCATCATGGTTGAGAGGCTGGATCATATCAGGATGCCTCTTCAATTATTATATGCCTTCATTTCTTATGTGTAACTGGGTTGTAGAAAGCTTTAAAACTTTACATACCTGCCATGGAACATGCAGCTAAGATGGTCAAGAAAACCATGAAGTATTCATATTGGCTACAAGTATCATATTTTCAATTCTTTGTGTAAACATTTGTGGCCCATCCATGGCACTTAGGAAGTTCTGAAATTTCAAACCCCTATTTTGTGAGTAGGAAGAGAGGAATTCTTAATACATATCTTTGTTGACTGAGTTTTGTAAAACTAATCCTCTAAATCTGGCTCAAGAAGGATTCCTATATTTTTTGTTTTTTGTGGGGTTTTTTTTGCTTTAGTGGCATTGGACCAATGCTATCCAGAGTTGAAGGGAAAAGTTGTATTTGGTACACGCATTTTAGGTGATATGAAATGATTGCTTACTGTTGGTAATAACTTGGGGGGAATGAGAACCCTTCTGAATCCAGATAACCTGCCTCCATATTTGTTTCACTCACCTGCCTAATCTACATTTCAGGGAAGCTGTACACCACTAATGGTAGCAACTCTCCACCCTCAAGTAGCCACCATCACACCGCAGTATGCGGTGCCCTTTACTCTGAGCTGCGCAGCCGGCCGGCCGGCACTGGTTGAACAGACTGCCGCTGTACTGGTAATTCCCCTCACTTGATTGTGTTACTAACGGAGTTTCTTTGGTTTCTTTCTTTTTTATTTTTTCCTGTTTGTTTTTGTTCTGTTTCCTTCTGGTTTTCTCATTTTTCAAAAGAAGTTTTTTTAACTTAGTCTTTGCAGAGGGCATGGAAGCATGTGCCTTCTTGTGGCTGTGTTCTTGCTGTATACCTTTAATGTCTCATTGTTTTCTTCCCCAACATTTGCTGAAGCACTGTTTGACCTTGATGTTCAGTGTGGCTCTGAGGAATTAAGATCCCTTAATTCTTCTTTGCCAGCCTAGGGTGATAAAAGCTCTTGGTGTAGCCTCAGAAGAGCTTCAACACTGTTACCAATTTTCTGCTCTTACCTTCTGATCTTGAGAATGAAGGAAATGGCCTTTAGCTTGGCTCTGCTACTGGTACCCGGATGGCCAAAATTTGAACTCCTTGGCAAGTTAGCTTCCTTCTTTATTTGCTACTTTAAGCTCCTAAAGCTTTTGTGCTTGTAGAAATGTTTAAGGTGTTCTTTATTGCTTTATCAGTTGATACTAACTTTCCTTCTATGAACAGATGAAGGTAACTTTTTGCCACTCATGATCAGTGTTAGCTTATATCTTCTATTTAACGGTGTTCCCTTCAGAATCTTTTCAGATCATTATCTCATTTGTTGGTTGAAATTTAAAGGTGAACTTATTTTTAGGGGTTAATGGAGAAATTAATTATTTTACAAATAGGTCTTTATACAAAGGTGAAAATATGGCTGAAAACTATGCAAATATAGTATTTTTGTTGCAAAAATCATGCGGAAAAGTTGTTAAATACAGTGGCAGGTGTAGGATTATGGGACTTAGAAATAGGAAATGGACAAACAGAATTTGAGGTGTATTTCAGGATTTATAATCTTAAGAGTGATTTTTGGATATGTTTTGGTTTATTTGGGGGAGTTAGAATTGTTTACTGGCCATCCAGCATTAAAATTAGGTAAGCATTTGAAAGCCTAATTGATACTATTGAATCCTGATACTTCTGTATCTTTCAAAGTGGCTTTAAATTTCTTCTGTTGTTTCTTAAGGACCCATGAGTGAAAACACTTCCAGAAATGTACTTTAGTTGTTGGAATTCGTTTGGTTATCAGTTTAAAGTCTCTGTCACCTCCAGATTAATGATATCCTAAGCATAAAACCTGAGTACAAGGGAGTCAGATATCTATTTTCAACTTGATTGATGCAAGCCACAGATTTTAACTTAGAAGTTGGAAATGTCAGTTAACACTTCTCCTTTGCTGTTTCTCTTAAGTTTGCACTAGCCATTTGCTAAGCTTTGCACATTTTTGTTCTTTCTCTGTCAAAACAGTTCGTCGCTTGGAACGCCAGATTTCTGCCTCACGTTTGGAATGATATTTCTTGCTCTCTATTAAACTACATGCTTTGCCTTGTGCAGGTGTTGGCTTATATGGAAAGACGCATGGTGTGACTTAACATACTTCTCTTATTTTCTGTTTTGTTTTGTTTCGTTTTAAATTCTGCTTATGGTAGCAGGCATGTTTGCAGTTTCTCTGCTTTGAAGGCTTCTTGTTTGGAACCAGTATTTGAAACAAGTGGATCTGTTACTTGCAGAAATATTTTTAAAACAGTGTATTGATGGCCTTGCAGTTTGAAATTCAAGAAATAGAACCGTGTGTACCCAAGCATTGTAGGTGATTGTACTGTAGAATTCAAGTTTAAAAAGGAAACTTACAAATCTGTTCCCATTTTTTTAAGAAAATGCCAAAATTTCTGTAGGAAGTACAGAAAACATTTGTTGCTGTCTATTACAAGTGACATGGCTTGTTAAAAACTAGAAATGATGTATTTTCTTGTGATTAGTTTTTATGTTGAAGTATGTTTCTGCAAATGATACATAAAACAGTTTATTTTAGGTTACTATTAAACACAAAGTATGGTGCTTTCTACATTTATTTCCTAAATATTTTACTTATTGCCTTATTTTTTAGTTCTATCGTATGACTACAAATGGTGAGTTAGCTTTCTCTTGCTCTCGTTGGCTTGTTTGCCAGAGGACTTTGGCCTTTGGTCATCCACATCTAGCTCCATTTTCCAAGTCCCACCCTTTTAAAAAGGAACAATTCTCCCCTTTGTTTTATGGGTTGAATTGACCAGATGTCGTATCTGATTGGCACTCAAAATTTTCAAATTCCTATTTTTAATCTCAAGAGAACCATCTTAACTCTCTAGGGATATTTTTAGAATCTTTGTGCAAAAATGATACTCCAGCATTTAGCCAGAACTTACCTATGAACTTTCAGATGCCTTTCCTCTGCAGTGTTGCCAGAATTCTTAACCACAAGGATCTTCTTTTCTTTAATACCCTGGTAGTCAGGTTATGGAGGTGGTCAAGAGAAGTGTGTTTTCTTTCCTTATTCATGAGACTTGTAACTTTGAGCCTCCCTGACTTTTCTTTTTAATCTCTGCAAGTTAACAATCTACAACAACTTCTTTTAAGATACAAATTTTTCTCTCATCTAAAAAAACAGAAGAAAAAGCCAAGAATCAGTCAAGTCTGGATCTTTTTGTGTGTGTTTCCTTACAGCAGGCTTGGCCGGGAGGAACCCAACAAATTCTCCTGCCTTCAACTTGGCAACAGTTGCCTGGGGTAGCTCTGCACAACTCTGTCCAGCCCACAGCAGTGATTCCAGAGGCCATGGGTAGTGGCCAGCAGCTCACAGACTGGAGGCAAGTGCCCTATGATCCTTTCTGGGAGATTTGCAAGGGCAGAGCCTTTAGGGTAGGAGTGCTTGACAATAGGGTGAGACTGAGAAGAAAATAAAGGAAAAGAAAGCTGTATCTTTGAAATTCTTTAAGGAAAGAACCCATATCAACCTAGGAGATGGAGTTACAAGAAACCTTTAACTACAGTAAAACAATACGTTCTACGAACAGGAGTCGTTTAATTCAGATTTAAAGAAGGTCTTACATAATTAGAAACCATACAGTGAAAACCTAAAGCCTTGTTATTTAGGTGCCCAACTTTACAAATAAAACACAGCTATATTTGGTTGTATTAAGTGCTCTTAACACCTATCTGGTCCTGATTTCTCAGTGTTTTAGGCATTTGCTCTGTTTCTTTCCATTGATCAGGAGTGGCCACTCTCACGGCAGCCAGTACAGCGCTATCATGCAGCAGCCATCCTTGCTGACTAACCATGTGACACTTGCCACTGCTCAGCCCCTGAACATTGGTGTTGCCCATGTTGTCAGACAGCAACAGTCCAGTTCCCTCCCTTCAAAGAAGAATAAGCAATCTGCTCCAGTGTCTTCTAAGTAAGTCTCTGTGAGAGCTGATAAGTTAAACCTGTGCCAGTTTGAGAGACATGGTGCCAGGCATTTAGAGTATTGTGGTCTAGAGTCTTTTAGTCTGAAGCAGCAAGTAGCTGCCAAATTGAGGAGGAGCTAACCTTTTCATCTGAGTATTGCCCACTTTACAGAGTGAAATTTAACCATGGGGTAAAGGGCATACAAAAATGAAATTTATGTGGTATTTTGGTGTTCTTGTCCCTGAAAACTCTCTGGCTGGAGTGGTTCATTTATTTTTTATTAGAACTTTTGTAGTTCAGTGTATTGACTTAATGATTAGGTAGAATCAAAGAGCGAGTTGGAAAGAGTTCTGGGGTAAAAATGTATAGTTTTGTGGCCAAGTACTGAATAGTCTTTCTTGTAACCTTTTTCTGCAGATCCTCTCTGGATGTTCTGCCTTCTCAAGTCTATTCTCTGGTTGGGAGCAGTCCCCTCCGCACCGCATCTTCTTATAATTCCTTAGTCCCAGCCCAGGATCAGCATCAGCCAATCATCATTCCAGATACTCCCAGCCCTCCTGTGAGTGTCATCACTATCCGCAGTGACACTGATGAGGAAGAAGACAACAAATATAAGCCCAATAGGTAAGACAGGTGAATGGCTACCTGGCTTGGTGGCTCCTACCCTGGTCTTAGAGTGTTGGCTTCAGGCCAGTGGCCCAGTTTTGGCTATGAAAGGAATAACTAACAAAGGGTATTTTGGAATCATGGCCTTGGATGAGTAGGCCAAACACTCGTTTCCGTAAGTGAGCATTGTCAGGTTTTCTCTAATACTATATATGCTCGTTAGCTAAGTTAGTCTTTCAGATATGTTATATAGAAGGTGTATATTAAGTTCTCTGGCTTGGAATGAACATTATACTACAGACATGGTCCCTTGCCTTTAAGGAACCTTAGAAAGTCTAAACTCAGGTACCTTAATAGAAACATATAAACAACGGTTAATTGAAATAAGCCAAGTAGATATAACATTACTTGAAAGTCATGTAATTTCTTAATCTGTGAAGGCTTCTTTGAAGGAGGTAGAACTTTAAGTAGGACTACCTTCTTTACCCCCTTTTGCTGAATGGTCTGAAGGCTTAAGAATTTAAGTACCACATTATTTCATTTTATTGCAGCACGTTAATCCAAGTCCTTAACTGGGCAGTTCACTAAGAGAGGGTGGATACGTTTAAGAACTGTGGTACAACGCCTCTGTCTTGGTGTGAACATAGTCAGTTGCCTTGATTGTTCTCTGTTGTATTCTTCATTGGGCTTTGGGTGATGCTGAGACATAGAAGAGGGACTAACCCTGCTTTTACCAAAGGAGGTGAGATTCACACATGAAAGTAACTTAGGAGACTTTACAGAACCATATATAAATGAAGTTGAAATCAACTTGAATAAGTTTAGAGTGAAGGGTAAATTTAGAATGAAGTACTTCAAAATGGCTATTTACGAATGGTAAGTAGACTTGAAACTAAGTTTTAAAAGTGTTCATTGAAATGATATGGGGATGAGAAAAAGTAAATTCCCAGTGAGGAAAAGAGGCCTAGGCATGGCAAAATTATGTAACTAGCAAGATTGCTGTGACTGAAACCAAGCCTGTTTAAAATAAGGAAAAACTAAAGTTAGTAAGGTGGGGATCAGTTTGTGAAGGAACTTTTTAAAAAAAACATGGGAGAAGTTTGATTAGAAATAATAGGGAACCATTTATATTATAGCAGGGTGATATGAAAATGAAGTGGTATTTGAAAAATATTATTGAAATAACTGAATGGGAATGGCTGCAGGGCAACATGGAATAGTTGTTAGAGGTGTGTTCTCTGAAGTCATTCTGTCCTGGTCTAAGTCCTGTCTTCATTGACCTTAGGCAAGTTGCTTCAGGTTCCTCATCTGCAAAATGGGCATAATAGTAGCTACGTCACAGAAATGTTGTGAGGGTTCAGTAGGTGTATGTAGAGTGTGAGAGTAGAGGATGCGTCAGTTCTCAAGCTTGCTGCTGCTGCTCTTAATACTGCTACTGTCATTGTCACCGTCATGGAAAGACCGGAGATCATGGAAGAAACACTGCTAAAAGGGGGTTGGATTCTCATATGTTTTCTTTTCCCCAGCTCTGGCCTGAAGGCAAGGTCTAATGTCATCAGTTACGTCACTGTCAATGACTCTCCAGACTCTGACTCTTCCGTGAGCAGCCCATATTCCGCTGATACTCTCAGTGCTCTCCGGGGCAACAGTGGGCCCCTCCTGGAGACGCCTGGCAGAGCAGTGGGGGACGACACTGGCACCCGCACCATCATTGTGCCTCCCCTGAAAACTCAGCTAGGGAACTGCACTGTAGCAACACAGGCCTCAGGTGAGTATCTTCACAGTTCAAGTTGAAATCTTCTTTGATGTATGTATCCTTAATATGTTGCTATAATCTACTTACGCCAATGCTATACACCAGTGGCACAGATTTTCTTAAAGATTACTCAGTTAAGAAAAGAGTTCCTTGTGATGTGAAATTATTTTTGGCCATCAATTTATCTTCCTATGTTTATTTTGCTTGGATTAATAATAAAGTGAGTTTGTAGTCCCAGATACACTCACTGTGAATGAGATGGATGGACAAGACATATGTTGTATGACAGGGAGAATTAGCAGGCACTTTTTTTTTTTGCCACAGGTGATTGAAATTTGACAATCGAAGTGGACAAGAACTGATAATGTTAAAAATGACTGCAAAGGTTTTTTTGGAAAGCAATATGTACTTAAATCTTTTCTCACCCATAATCATAGCAGTGATGTTTTTGTGGATTTTACTATCAACCAAATTACTTCCATTTTTTTGCTCTGTTAGATGATGGACTTAGGCTCCCTGGTTCAGTTGTTGGGTAATGACAAATGCAGTAACAAGTCCCCAGTTTCCCTGGCTTGACATAGTAGGGGCTGACTTCCTACATCACTTTCCAGTGCAAGTGTTCTATGCATAGGCCTACAGTGAGTTAAACATCGGAGCCTCGGAATCCTCAGCGTCCGAAATGGAAAAAGGCAGTTTGGAGGAGGCACACACCTTTCTTAATATCTGTAGCCTAGGAATAGTGAAAACTAATCATATGGCCCCATCTAGAGGTGGTATAGTCCTAGACTAGACAGCTGTCACCCAGTGGCAACTCTATATACTGAGAGAGGGGGATGTGAATTTTTGGTGTTGGTATAGCTATCTCTACCGTACTTGTGTTAATTAGTGGTTTACTGCGAATTAGGTTACTGCCAGAGATATAAACAGGGCTGTGATTTCAGGGTGTCTTATTAAGTTTCAGTGTCATTCTTCTCCTCAGAAGTAGGTAACTGTACCATTGTAGGCCAGACAAAACTTCCTGATGCCAGGCTACTGAACATTATTAGAAGCTCTGTCCACTGTGAATACTCTGGGTCCAGTTACTCCACAATTCACTGAATAAATACTCTAATTTTCCTAGTGGACCATGGAAAGAAGCAAAATTTTGAAAATTGATCTTAATTATATTCAACTGCCCTGCAGTTTCTTAGAAGACAGTGAGTTCCCAGCAAGATAAAATCTTGTCTTCCCTTAAAACCTTTTGACCCTTAAGTGTCCAATGTATTACCAGTCTCTTACTCAGCTTCACCTTGTCATTTCTATACTTGTTTAATCCCTTCTTATATAAAATTCTGGGCTCCTTGGGGGTAGGGCCTTTGTGTCTTACTTGTGTCTGCATTCACAGTAGTACCTTACACATTACAGGGGATTAGATAATATTTACTTAACGTGAACCTTTTGAAGATACTTTATGGAGCTTTGTAGCAAGACAGAAAATGAATGGATAATTTCTGGTATAAATGTAATGGAAGAAATAAGATACACATAAAACCTTATCTCTTGCAAACCTCACACAGACGTAGGCTGATTAAGGTGATACCACCTGAGGTTTTCCTCAGTGACACTGAGCTGACGTCTACTCTTAACTAAGGCCTGACCCTTTTTTAGGTCTCCTGAGCAGTAAGACAAAGCCAGTGGCCTCAGTGAGTGTGCCGTCATCCGGATGCTGTATCACCCCCACTGGGTATCGGGCTCAACGTGGGGGGACCAGTGCAGCACAGCCACTCAACCTTAGCCAGGTAAGTGCGAGGGGCTGCTGCCTTCTGTTTGGGGCCTCCTCTATTGTTACTCTCTGGAGAACCCTGCTTCTGGCTGGACAGCTGAATAAAGACAAATGAAGCCCCTTTGTGTCAAACAGTTCAGTGTTCTGTGGCCTGCATCATACCTGCATGTGCTGTGTCTCTCCATTCCCTCTGTAAGTGTGTTCAAGACGTACATCTCAGGCTTTCCATCAGACCTCCCTGATCTATCCTGGAAGATTTTAAAGAGATGTCCAGGATTTAGAAAGAGCTTAGGATGCTTTAGTCCATGCTTGGTCCTATACTGCTGCATGCTTTGAGACCAGACTCTTTTCCTTTATCTCTCAAATTATAAATATTCTGAGCTTCATACTGATTACTTCAGGTAAGAGACAGTGATAAACTTTCTGGCCCCTTCCTCAACTGGTTCTATATGTTGCCTGAGTCTGGGATTTGGGGCTCTTCCCCCATAAACTGATCTTCCGATGGGGTGGGGAAGGTCACTGTTCTGTTTGTGTTCACATTTTCTTCAGTTAAAATTCTAGTGTTTGTATGGTATCTACCAGTAGTGAGAAAGTGTAAATATGAAGTAACTCTGTCATGCATGTGTGTGTGTGTGTGAGAGAGAAAGCATATGCAAGCAAAATGTAAATTCGAGTTAGTGCGTGTGTTTTAGGATGCACAATTCAAGAGGGATGTGAAGAATTTAGAGGAGAACAAAAGAAAACAATGTCAATAAAGAAAGGTTAGGAAAATTTCAGATTCACTGATGCCAGAATAGGGTGAGTTGAGGCAACAATTATTACTTTCAGGAGTGGGTAACCCTATGAACTCTTGATTCCCCCTTTCCTCTGCCTACTTAAGAGCAAACTGCTGCTATCTATGCCAGGTTAAGATCTATTCTGCCAAGAGGCAGGGGATTGATGACTACCTTCTAAAAGCACTGCCAGTCTGGGAGATTATGTGCTGTGGCAGCCCAGAGCAGCACAAGTTAGAACCTCAACTCTCAACTTGGCCTTTGGTGCTCTGAACCAGAGCACCTCTGGTTCTCAGGATCCTGACCTCAAGATCCTCACATCCTTCTTCCTCCTTCCAGAACCAGCAGTCATCGTCAGCTCCAACCTTACAGGAGAGAAGCAGCAACCCTGCCTCCCGTAGGCAGCAGGCATTTGTGACTCCACTCTCCCAGGCCTCCTACGCCTTCCAGCATGGCAGCCCCCTACACTCAGTGGGGCACCCACACCTCGCTCCAGCCCCTGCTCACCTGCCAAGCCAGCCTCACCTGTATACGTATGCTGCCCCCACTTCTGCTGCTGCATTGGGCTCCACCAGCTCCATTGCTCATCTCTTCTCCCCACAGGGCTCCTCAAGGCATGCTGCAGCCTATACCACCCACCCTAGCACTCTGGTGCACCAGGCCCCTGTTAGTGTTGGGCCCAGCCTCCTTACTTCTGCCAATGTGGCCCCTGCTCAGTACCAACACCAGTTTGCTGCCCAGTCCTACATTGGGTCTTCCCGAGGCTCAGCAATTTATACTGGATATCCGCTGAGTCCTACCAAGATCAGCCAGTACTCCTACATGTAGTGGGTGATCATGAAGGAGGAGGCCCTGAGTTTTAGCACTGGGCTATATGATGAACTCCTCCCATGCCCTTTCTTGAAACTCCTTAGCCAACACCTTGTTCTGCAGGGGCCACTGAACCAGAAGATTTTTCTCTGGGGAACCTGTCTCAGCATTGACTGCATTGTTGTAGTCTCCCAAAGTCTGCCCTATTTTTTAATTCTTTATTTTTGTGACAGCATTTTTGGTATTTGGAAGAGTTCAGATGCCCATCTGCAGTTACCAAGGAAGGGGAGATCACTCTGAAGTTACCTTTGAAAAATATTTTCTCTCTGACTTGATTTCTATAAATGCTTTTAAAAATTATTTGACTTTGTTTTATTTTAATTGCTGGTCAGATGAAAAATGCTGATAGGAGGACTTGAAACCTAGTAACAAGTGAGAAAAGAAAAATTACTTTTTGCTTGCTTAAAAACCAAGACTTAATTGCTTATTTTAAAAGTGGCTTACACAAGTCTGTATTTTACTATCAGGCATTTCTCCTCAAAATTTTACCTTTGTTTATGGTACATTTAAACTTATAGTATTTTAGTTTTGTTTCATGTCACATTATACTTAATAGGTAATTGTTATTTTTGTAAAACTGGTTCCACATGACTGTGTTACTTTTGGGATTCTCAGATGCTCTTGTATTTATTGTAGTGTTAAAAAAGGCAGCTCACCATTTTGCTGGTAATTTAGTGTGAGAGAATCCATACCTACCATGAAAGTACCAGGTATGCTTTTTAAATGAAGCCCCGTGCATTCTTTTTAAATTATCTTTAAAAAGTCCTTCTCTTTCGGATTCAGCTTAAATTTTATTATTGGAAAAGCCATTAAGGTGGTTATTATTGTATGGTGGTGGTGGTTTTATTATATGCAAAATCTCTCTGTATTATGCTATACTGGCATTGATGAGCTTTGCCTAAAGATTATTATGAATTTTCATAATACCCTTCTTTCCCTTCGCCTCATCTCTCCCTTCTGTTCGATGTGGTTTATTTGGGGAGAAAGCTAAAGAATCTCAGACCAGATAAGAACGTTATGTATAGCTTTTATACTTTAAAGTAGCTTCCTTTGTATGCCAGCAGCAAATTGAATGCTCTCTTATTAAAACTTATACAATAAGTGCATGTAGGAATTGCAAAAAATATTTTAAAAATTTATTACTGAATTTAAAAATATTTTAGAAGTTTTGTAATGGTGGTGTTTTAATATTTTGCATAATTAAATATGTACATATTGATTAGAAAAATATAAGCAATTTTTCCTGCTAACCCAAAATGTTCTTTGTAATCCAGTGTGTAGTGATTACACTTGAATTGTATATTTAGTGTGTATCTGATCCTCCAGTGTTACCCCGGAGATGGAATTGCTGTCTCCATTGTATTTAAACCAAAATGAACTGATACTTGGTGGAATGTATGTGAACTAATTGCAGTTATATTAGAGCATATTACTGTAGTACTGAATGAGCAGGGGCATTGCCTGCAAGGAGAGACCCTTGGAATTGTTTTGCACAGGTGTGTCTGGTGAGGAGTTGTTCAGTGTGTGTCTGTCTCTTCCTTCCCTTTCTCCTCTTTCCCTTATTGTAGTGCCTTATATGATATAATGTAGTGGTTAATAGAGTTTACAGTGAGCTTGCCTTAGGATGGACCAGCAAGCCCTCGTGGACCCTAAGCTGTTCACTGGGATTTATCAGAAGAGGATTAGTAGCTGTGTTGTGTAAATGCATTGTTCTCAGTTTCCCTGCTGACACTGAAAAATAAAAGCAGCTTTTCTCCTTTACCACCACCTCTACCCCTTTCCATTTTTGAGTCACACCTGAGTTCTCACAGAAGCATTTTCCCCATGTGACTCTCTCACTGTTCATTGCTACTTGCTTCTGTGAGAATTTGGGAAGCAGGTGAGAGGAGTCAAGCCAATATTAAGCATGCATTTTTTTTCTTTTTTGTAAGTATGTGCAATCACCTTTAGAATGATGTGTTTTTTCTTTTTTTCCTTTTCCCATGTGGCAGTCCTTCCTGCAAATAGTTGACATTCCTGGTAAAATATTTGCTTGTTGGAAAAAAATATAAAATAGATGTGTTTATACCAAAGAGCCTGTTGTGTTGCTTACCATGTCCCCATACTATGAGGAGGAGTTTTGTGATGCCACTGTTGACAGGGAACTCATGGAAAGGTTTCTTAGCCGGTGAAGAACTAGGAAGGAACCAAAGCCTGTTGAGTCATTGGGCTTTTGAAGTTTCTTTCTAACAACTTGTATATTCTTGGGGCCCTTCAAACTGTGAAATTGTCCATGTACTCTCAGCTCCTACATGGATCTGGGTCAAGTTAGAGGGTAGTGGGGTGAGGATGTTCCTGCCCATAAAAGATTTGGGGGAAGAAGGTTAACCCTAAGATATAGAAGCATTCCACCTGAATTGAAAATGGTATATTTGAAGGATAAGTCTAGGATTGGTTCTTTGTAAGATGGTGTCAAGGAGGTGCAGGATGGAGATGGGAGATTTCATGGAGCCTGGTCAGCAAGCTATGTACTAGGTTGGACACCGATGAGCTGTCATGGTATTCGGAGTTTCTTCATTGTAAGGAGTAAGGGCTTTCAAGATGGGGCAGATAGTCAGTACAGCCCACCAGGAACATGTTGGTGTTTTCTATTTTTTTATCATTGTACTGAGTTGTGTCTTCAGTGCTATTGGTCAGGATGCCCGAGCAGTTTGTATAGTTTCTGTCGCTAGTGTTGTGCAGTTTTCTGGTCAGCATGTGTGATCTTTGTGTCTCCTTTTTTGCCAAGCATATTTGGATTTTCTTGCTCAAAGGCAAATCTGGTTTCTAATGGAACCATTTCTGTTCCTGATATCTCCTCCACAAGGGATAATATTTGTTGTTTTTGTAAAATGAGATGCAGGGAAAGAAATACAAAACACTCCTGCCCCTCAGTCCAATAAATATATAATTTAAGATACGAGTCTTAACTTCACAGGGAAAAGACAATGCCAAGAGCTTGTATTGTTACCTTAATATCTTACTAGCAGTGTTTGGCTTTAAGAATTTTAGAGATTTTCAGTCTTTGTCTGCAAATTGGCATTTTCGATTTACTAAGATAAAAATTCACTTGTGTCTGCTGAATGTGTGTGTGCTCAGTGTGACTTTAGATTCCATCCCTCTGTCGGCCCTGACCGGGAGGGGAAAGCCCTGTATATTGAGTGATTTGAGTCGCTGACCTGGGTAATAGAGGCCTGACTTCAGACCGGTTATAGGGTTTAAGTCCTTTAAGAATTTGCATTTCCAGCTTCTCCCCTTCAGAGTGAGAGAGAAAGTAGGGAAGGGGTAAGTACAGCCACTTTGGACTCCTCAGGACGCTCGATCACTCTGGAGCTCTTACTGTCCCCCAGGAGGTGGCAGTACTGTCAGTGCTCTGCTAGCCGCCAGCCCCAAGAATAAGAACTCCGCCTCACACAGTCCTGGCCATCCATCGTCCTCCACTAGAGGGGCCAAGCTTGACTGCCCTCAGCTCGGCAAGCACAGTGATGTGTGTTTTATTCAGCATTATTATGCAAAAACCCACTGTTTAGGATGGTTTGTTTTAGGGTGGGAAGTGAAATTGCCTCTCAGTGATAGGAATGGCCCAAGCTTGCTTCCTGTTTTGATTTTTTTTTTTAACTGATGGATGGTACAGCATGTCTACATGGTTGTTTGTTGCTAAACTTTATATAATGTGTGGTTTTACTTCAGCTTGAAAAATAATCTCACTACATGTAGCAGTACATTATATGTAATGTTAGTATTTCTGCTTTGAATCCTTGATATTGCAATGAAATTCCAACTTTATTTAATGTATTTGATATGCTAGTTATTGTGTGCGATATAAACTTTTTTTGTCTTCTCCCTTTTCTTGTGTGCTTCCTTTTACAACAAGCCTCTAGAACCAGTTTCTGAGAATTACTGAGCTATGTTTGTAATGCAGATGTACTTAGGGAGTATGTAAAATAATCATTTTAACAAAAGAAATAGATATTTAAAATTTAATACTAACTATGGGAAAGGGTCCATTGTGTAAAACATAGTTTATCTTTGGATTCAATGTTTGTCTTTGGTTTTACAAAGTAGCTTGTATTTTCAGTATTTTCTACATAATATGGTAAAATGTAGAGCAATTGCAATGCATCAATAAAATGGGTAAATTTTCTGATTCACGTCGTTGTTTTGACTTTTGTTATAGGGGCACAAAGGGGATCAACAAAGACATTTCAGTGTGGCTAAATACATTGTATCTGAACATTAGTAGATGTATGAAGACAAGTTCTTTCTTCATACAAACCTCCACAGTAGAAATGAACAGGGGTTGGTTGGGAACACTTTCTGAGAATGGAGTGTCCTGGGCCCTAACATAGATCAGCTGGATCTGGCCCATTGAAAGAGGCAGAAACTTCTGACACAGGGTGATTAAAGTTTGTGTCCTAGCGTGTTCCACCAACAGCTAAAGCAGCAAGTGAAAATAAGAATCACCAGAAGATGATGCTATTTCTCCCTCCTTTCAAGCTGCACTGTTAGAACCTTAGTCCTTTTAGAGAAGGAGCACTTCTGATCAGATTTCTCATGATTTGAGAGTGAATAAATCGTCTCTTGATAAGGAATTAGAGATTTGGCTAGATTAATCACTGCAGCTCTCTGAATAAATGCTGTATTTGACTTCTGACATGTGTTTCAGGTGCAGTCTACCTTACAGTGGCTGTTAATTAATTTTGCTCCTGCAGTCATAGATGGGATATAGATATGAGAAGCACTTAGAAATGACCTGTTGGACTGTAATCAAGGGAAATTATCAGTAATCTGTTCTTTCCCATAAGTAAGGATGTCAGAGTACATTTATTTATTTAGACTGCGACATATTTTTCAGATTTTTTTTTCCTCAAATAAATAAATGAATGTAAAGTTAGGGTGAACTTGCTGAATAGCCTCCAGTTTTGGTAATAATATACATATAAGCTTTCGGGTGAAGGAAAGCCATACAGAAAGGCTCTTATGTCAGTCTCACTTCCAGGTAATCAAGATTAATTTACTAAATCATCTTTTTTTATTTTAATTGCTTTTATCTCGGTTAATAAATTTTTATCTCTTCCTTAGGCTAGATCAAAGGGATATGGGATAGCCCCTAAGTAATTGGGTAGTCTGTGGGGAAATCTACATTTTAATGATGAAAATCCCTATGAATTCAACCCACTTGGCTTGCTTTGGTGGAAAACTTTCCACGTGAGGTGAAGTCTAAAACCTTGGTTTCCCTGTTAATCCAGGTGCTTAGCACAAGATGGCGCCAATGAGCTGTAGAAGGTGGTACAGACAACTGGCTTTTTTTCTCCCACCTCTTCCTCTCAAACACCATCTTCGCTGCTTCCAGCTTTCACAGAACACAGCAGAAAACAATCCATGCTATTATTGCTGGGAAAGGGAAGGACTAATGAAGGATGTTTCTTAAGTCAGCAGTGGAAGCATTCTCCTAAAACACAGGGATAGAGCTTTCTGAATTTACTCTGGGGCCTCTGCCTCCCACTACTAGCTCCTGAGTGACTGCCCAGAAGGCCTCTGCCTTGGGGTTTCTGTCTTCTTTCCCTCTCCTGGGGAGCCTACAGCCTAGGCGGGAAGTGGTTAAGGCTTCTGGCTGCTCTGCAATAGGGCCATCTGTGTTTGATCAATCCAGGCAGAATGAGGGGGTGGGGGTTGTAAAGAGACCATAAGCATTCCAGAGTAGTGAGAGAGACCCAGAGACCCAGAAAGAGGGAAGGCCCCGCCCCCGCCCCGCCTCCAAAGCTACCCCGCAGGCGTGAGTGGAAGCGGCCAACTGCACACAACTGCACACTCTCTACTCTGGCCCCGCTTTCCCGCGGCCATGAGGCCCTGGGCGCCTCTCCTGTTCCTTTTGCCGTGGGTGGGGCCCCTCCAAGGACAGCAGCACCAGCTCGTGGAGTACCTGGAGCGCCGGCTCGCTGCCTTGGAGGTGAGTGGCTCCTTCACTTCCAGCCCAGGCTGGAAGGACTCTGGCTGTTGATTCACCCCATTTGTTAGGGACCTGGGGAGTGACAAGATAGGGCTCCGTAAGAACCTGCAGAAAACTCCATCTTTTAATAAGATCCTCCAGATTGCAAGCCCTCCTCTGTCTCCACATATATAGAGCAATTCCGGAGCAGATAGACTGTTGTGTTCTACTCCTGGGATGGATGGAATAAGGGGACAGTGGAAATGAGAGCGAAGATTGTGGGGACACCCCTCAGGACAAGCTGATGATTCTGTTAAAGTTGGGAGTTCCCAGAGAATCTGCAACTTTCTGCCTTTTTAATAGTTTGAAGTCGGTAGCCTCTTAATTCCCAAGAGGAGATTTGTAAAATGGAGCAGAGACCCCTCCCTTCCCTCATGCACTTAGACTGCCTGAGGAGCCCGGGCAACTCAGTGGCACTGCTCACAGATGAGGAGGCTGGAGGATGTGATGGGCAGGTAGGGGCCTAGGTGAATCCGAGCCTGGCTCTTCACACAGTGAGCATTCCGCATACCGGTTTCCTTTCTGTGGGGCTTGGAGGAATGTTGATGCCTGGTTGAGTTTGGGCTTTTTCCCCATTCCTGACTCTGGCGGTGGGCCTCTTCCTGCCTGGGAACTGTAACCCTTCAGCCCTCCTTCCTGTCCCCCCATCCTGGCAGGAACGGCTGGCTCAGTGCCAAGAGCAAAGTAGCCGGCACGCTGCTGAGCTGAGGGACTTCAAGAACAAGATGCTGCCGTTGCTGGAAGCGGCTGAGAAGGAGCGGGAGGCACTCAGAACTGAGGCTGACACCATCTCGGGGAGAGTGGACCGTCTGGAGCGGGAGGTCGACTATTTGGAGACCCAGAACCCAGCTCCACCCTGTGTAGATGTTGATGAGAAGGTCACTGGGGGCCCTGGCAGCAAAGGCAAGGGCAGAAGAAACGAGAAGTACGATATGGTGACAGGTAAGGGATCTGAAGGCAGGCCCCTGACACTCTGGGAGCTGGTGTTCTTCCTTGGTTCTTTTCCTTTTTCCTCCTTATCCCAGTTGCCTTAGGCTCTGTCTTCAGGAATCTGCTTTAGGGAAATATCTGTAATGACAGGTCCATTAAGGAGAGGTTCTGGGGATCCAGGCCTCTGTGCTCCTGCCCCCCATCGTCCATAAGAATGAAGGTATCCACTGTTCTCCAAACGGCCCGCCCCGGGGGATCTGGCAATGGACTTCTAACTCTTGCCTGTATTCCTTGCCCTGTGCTTTTCTCCTTCCCCACCAGACTGTGGCTACACAATCTCTCAGGTGAAATCAATGAAGATCCTGAAGCGGTTCGGTGGCCCAGCTGGTCTGTGGACCAAGGATCCAATGGGGCCAACAGAGAAGATCTACGTGTTGGATGGGACACAGAATGACACAGCCTTTGTCTTCCCAAGGCTGCGTGACTTCACCCTTGCCATGGCTGCCCGGAAAGCTTCCCGAGTCCGGGTGCCCTTCCCCTGGGTAGGCACAGGGCAGCTGGTATACAGTGGCTTTCTTTATTATGCCCGGAGGCCTCCTGGAGGACCTGGAGGGGTTGGTGAGTTGGAGAACACTTTGCAGCTCATCAAATTCCACCTGGCAAACCGAACAGTGGTGGACAGTTCAGTGTTCCCAGCAGAGGGTTTGATCCCCCCGTATGGGCTGACAGCAAACACGTACATTGACTTGGCGGCTGATGAGGAGGGCCTTTGGGCCGTCTATGCCACCCGGGAGGATGACAGGCACTTGTGTTTGGCCAAATTAGACCCACAGACACTGGACACAGAGCAGCAGTGGGACACACCATGTCCCAGAGAGAATGCTGAGGCTGCCTTTGTCATCTGTGGGACCCTATACGTTGTCTATAACACCCGCCCTGCCAGTCGGGCCCGCATCCAGTGCTCTTTTGATGCCAGCGGCACCCTGACCCCTGAAAGGGCAACGCTGCCTTACTTCCCCCGCCGGTATGGTGCCCATGCCAGCCTCCGCTATAACCCTCGAGAACGTCAGCTCTATGCCTGGGATGATGGCTACCAGATTGTCTATAAGCTGGAGATGAAAAAGAAAGAGGAAGAAGTTTGAGGAGCTAGATTGTATGGGGGTAACCCAGCCAACAGGCAGCAGACTGTTTCTTGGCTCAGACGAGTTGGGGACAGAGAGGAGCAGAAGGAGACTTTCAACTCTATCCTCTCCTCCTCCCTTCAGGCCCTGAAGAATGGGAATTTCTCCACATCCTTTTGTATGGCAACATTTTGCATTAAACAGAAAACCCTAAGGGCTCCTCTCCCGTGTGTATTTGGGGTGGCCCTCAGGTCAGATTTCTCCCCATGACCCTCCGCTTTCCTCCTCCAGCCCATCCCTACTACTCAAGCCACAACAGGGATTTGGCTGGGCTCCCTTGCCAAGGGAGGGGAGGCTTCTCTAGTTACTGGTTTTATCCTGATGCGCCTGGGGAAGCTGCAGGACCCGCCACTTTAGGAGCCTGGGTGAAAGGCCTCCCCCCACACCCACCTCTCCTCTGCAGTAGCCCTCCTAGAACTGCCAGGGGCCTTCGCCCCCTGGCCAGGGGGCTGGGCCAGCAGCAGGGCTGCCCATTCCAATTCTCAGAGGTTTTGAACCAGAACACGGATTTTAGTCTCATTGAAGTCTAGAGTGGAAACCAGAGCGTTGAACACGTGTGTTTTCAGGAAGAACTTAATAGGTTTCCTCTCTGAAGTGGACTCTGCCTCCAGCCCAAACCCCACTCCCATCTCTGGCATCAGCTGCTCCCCAGGGCCAAGTTGCACAACTGAGCTTGGTCTGAATTGCACGGATTTTCCTGCTGCCACAGTGTCTGCGGTTTGGGCGAGGGGGAGGGTAATGACCACGGCTCAGATGTTAGTCTTACCAGTTTCCCAACACATCCCTCTTGCCCCTCACCGCCCCTGCCTCCCCACAGCAGCCCTGGAACCTGGCTAAAGTCTGTCCGGGAGTCCTGGAAACTTAACCCTTCCCTGCTGAGTGCCCTGGCCTCTGGTTTGGAACTGCAGAAGGCCATCTGAAAGGGAGAAAGCACCAGAGAGGAGAAACCCTCGCTTAGGGACTCCAGTCTGGAGGAGCCCACCGAGCTCCAGACCAGGCTCTACCGCAGCCCCATCCCCATGTCCAGCACTCAGGAGCAAGGCTGTCTGAGGCACAAGGTTCCCTGCTGCCGCGGGGAAGTTGACCTCAGGCAGCCCTGGGAGCCCTCGTGGTTATTTACCCCAACGCAGGGAAGGGAAGGGAATACGTCTTCTCCCCAAAATACATCCCTCCTCCCCACCCCAGGATCCTCCTTTTGTCTTCTTGTCGTTTCTCCCCAGGCAGAGTTGCTCCTGACGTAGGTTGGTGAGGAAGGGGAAAAGAAAGACAGTGAAGTACCTCACAAAGGCGCTATTGTAGGGAGCTCGGGGCGGGTGGGACTCTCTCCCATTCAATTCTCCCCTAATGTGGGGCTGGCAACAGTAATCACCACCTGTCAGCCACAGAGGGGTCTGCCCACGGAACATCTGGCTGCAATGCAGGGCGCGCAGAAGCAGTGTGGAGAAGCGGGCTGCTGGGGGAGGCCTGGAGAGAGGGGTCCCCACCTTGAGGGGGGCAGCCGTGCAGCCCTGTGACCGTCTCCTTCCTGCTGTGTCAGTGGTTGTACAGAGTATGGGGCCACGTCGGTGGAGTCGCCTTGATACAGAACCGAACATCAGGACTGGCCTTTTGACGACCCTGAGGAGGACAGAACAGCTCTGAGACTGTGTGAATGATGTCAGAGTGAAAAACCGGGTCCTTCCCCACACACGCGTGTGCCTGGCTCTGTGGTGTCTTTCTTTGCCTGATTCCTCAATGAGAATGGGAAAAATCAGCCTTTTTTTTTTTAAGCTTAGAATTTCTCTGGAAATGTTTACTCAGACTTTACAGAAAGGGCAGAAATCTCTGGGGTCTTGTTATGTTACCTTTTGCTCTTTTCTTTTTGGCTCCCATACAACAGCCAGCGCTGTTTTGGAAGGTGAGTGGAACTGTATAGGTGGGTCCAGTGAACTGTCCAAATTCATTAAACTAAATTATCTGCGGCTTAAGGAGGGACCCTTGGTAGCTGAATTCTATCATCAAAAAACCAGCCTCACCGCGTTCTCAGACCCTCCATAACCCATCACTTGGCAGAAACAGGTATGACCTCTGGTTTGGGCTGAACAAAAGACAAAGGAAAGCAGAAGCCCTAAAGGGGGAACAAGGGGCTAAAAGCCCAAAGAGAAGCTCCACATCAGGCCCCGACACTGGGCCCTAAGGCAGCAAACAGCTGGGATGGGGCTGCTGTACAGTGTCACAAAGCAGGAGGGGCTGCTGCCCAGGGAGGACAGCTGTCTGCCAGATCACTGAGCCAGCTCTTGACTCTCCGTCATGAGGCAAGGTTGAGAGGGCTCCCCTTAATCCTACTCTGGCCCCATGCATTTCCTGCCCTAATTTGCAAGCTGTCCTCTTTGTTCTCAATACCCTCTCCTCCCTGGTGCCTGTCTGTGTCTGCCTGCCAGTAAACCCAAGTGTTCCTCTTGTCATTCTTATCAAGGAACGTGACCCAGTGCTGTCTGATCCTGGTGGGGAGGGAGAGGGCAGAGACCTACGGAATGGAACTGTCAGGCCTTCCTCTGGGATGGGGCTCTGGGGTAAACAGGAAGCAGAGCCCTTCCCCTCACCCTCCTCCTTCAGTCTCAGATTTTCCTGATCCCTTCTTGTCCCTTTCCTTGTATAGGTGCCTCTTTCCTGAGGCGCCTGGGAGCATCCCCTTCCTCTGTTCCCAACTTCTCCACCTAGTTTAGGTCAAAACATGCTCATTTTGAGAGCTGTTGACTGCCCTGGTGTTTCTCCCAGTCTTCAGGACGGGTCTCTATGGCCTGCTGTCCAGCCTCTCTGTGGCCGCTACGGCAGAGTTGTGTCTGCTCCAGGAGCTTCTCTGTCAGAGGGCAGCCAGAGGACAGGACTGTCCCTCCACCCTCACCTGCTATCAGAAGCCTCTCCAGATCTCTCTGACCCAGCAGCCTGGAAGCTTCCTCCTTTGTTCCCAAGGCTGGTAAGCTGTCCTCTGCCTGCTCTTTAACTTCTACTCTCACACTGTGGAGCTTAAAAGATGAAATCTTATTTATGGATTTAATAACTCCACAGAAGAATTATAAATGTGGAAGCCCATGCATTACTGTAAACGGCAGAGTAGGAAAGTAAAAAGAAAGACCTCTCAGCACCCCTGTCTCCAAAACGTGGGTCCCGACAATATCTAGAGTCAGACACCTCTCCAGAACCTTCTGGCATGACCTCTAGGGGTCGACCCTGCCACCCAAACCCCACCTTTTCTGAGAACAGACACCCTTGCTCCCTGACCATAGCTGTGAGGCCCAAGGGGAACAAATCAGATTCTCTTTCCTGGGGATTTAGAATATGCAGATCAGAAATGTTAGATCTGAGGAAATGTTTGGAAGCATCTTTTGCCCTGCTACCCAGAGGCAGTGAAAAGCCAGACCATAAAGGGAAAAGGATGAGGCAGATACCACAGGGAAGCAGAGACAGTGACAGGGTAGGTGAACCTGGCCCATGCATGTCCTGTCTCTAACCAGTACCCCTGGGGCCACAATATATTTCTAGCCCTTGAGTTCTACATAATGCCAGGATCCTTAACATAAATACTCCCTTCTCTTGCCTGTTTTTCTTTTTGCACTAGTTTGAGTGGGTTTCTGCTTCCTACAACCCAAAGAAACTCATCTTCACCTAATCTCCCCACCATCCCGCCGACTGCTGGGCTGGTGGCCTTGACCCTTTAGGGTATTCCTCCCTTGCACATGGCCCAGAGGACTCACTGGGGTAGTGAAGGAACCTTGCAGGCCTGTCCTAAACCACTCTACCACGGCTCGTTATACCTCGCCCGTGACTCCTTCCCATGGCCTGGTCATTACTTTCTCCTGTTCCATTCATTCATGGTGTGTTGTTCCTCCATCATCGCTTGTAGCATGGTGATCTCTGAGACAACCTGACATATTAGAAAGAGCACAAACTTTAGAGTCTGGTAAGCTAAGAGTCAGAGCTCCTGGGATCAGAGTCTGGCTCTGGCTCTTACTGTCATGATACCTTGAGCAGGTTACTTAATACCTTACCTATAAAGTAATCATATCTGCCCAATAGGGTTATTACTCTGAGGATTAGGGATGATACATGCAAACTCTTTAGTAGTATAGACAATTAGTATGTGGCTCTGAAACCCCACTTCCTTTGGGAGGCTTTTCTAACCATTTCTACTCCCACTCAGAAGGGTCAGGTGTCTTTCCTGTAGGCCCCAATTTGCCCTGTGCACATTCCAGTTGGAGTGTTGTATCTTGCTCACCTTCCTGTCCCCAGGGCTAACACAGAGCCTGACTCATAGATGGGATAAAAAAAATTGTATTCATGTTCTCCCATTAGCTGTGAACCCTCGGGACTCTGGGCATATTTGTCTCCCAACTCAGGACCTAACTCAGGAGGCTGCTGGTGAGCAGGAAATGTTCTTGGGGGCATTTTTCAGGTCAGTTGGACAAAGGCAAGCTTCACATAAAAATTGAAAGTTTCTCTTCAACTGCAGAACACACTGGCCTTCCCACGGTAACAACTTCTAGCTCCAGCATCTAGGAAAAGTCTTAAACTAGGCTGGCACATGTAAGCCCTGCAGCCACACAAGGGAGAAGACAGTAAAATTTCAGTAGGTAGTGGAACACCTTTGTTGTTCAGCATCTGGTTCATAGCAGAAGTTCTGGAGTAGTTAAAGGTAGTTAAACCTGTCCTACCCCAACCCTGCCACTTGCTGGCAAGTTAATTCACCTCTGTGAGCCTCAGTGTTTCCCCTATAGAATGTGGGTAATAGTACTAACTTCACAGATCATTGTGAGAATTAAGTCACCCTCATAAACCTGTAAGCCCAGTGCCTGGCACACAGCAGGTGCTCAATATCATTATTATTAATATCACATGGTTGGAGAGGTCTTTTCAGAGAGCAAAGTATTCATGCATTTTATCCCCTTCAATCTTTACAATTCCATGAGATAGGCAGGCCTAGGAACCTGAGAATTAGAGATTTAAATGATTTGTCTAAGGCCGCATAACTAACAAGCACTGGGGCCAGAACCTGTGTGTTGGAAGTTCTGTGGAGGTGTGGAAAGGGCTAGAGCTCTGAACTCAGGCTGAGTTCAATTCCTTGCTTTGCCACCCGCTCACTGTGTAATCCCAGGCAAATCAATTCTCTGAGTCTCA